CAGAGGTGTGAAAGGAGGTTGCAAAGGTTACCATAGGACTCAGGAAGTCACATTGGGACAGACCAATCCTAAGACGTAAGGCAGTTCACATCCAGCATGCTACAATCCTCCACCTTTCTGCTCCTGGCTCTTGCTCAACCCTGGGGTGCACAATTACTCTGCCATAGCGACTCCCTAGAATCTGCATATTCTGGAAGGTAATAAGCATACCAGAGAGAAATAAGACCCTGCATTATGAGAGAGTTGCAATCCCCCTTGCCCCTCCTTTAGGTTTCAAAGCATTTTAAATTTTAATCCTCCTGGTACTGGCAAAATGTGAAACAGAAACTACATTAAGAGGCAGCTGCAAAGTAGTGGTGGCAAATACCACTCTGTGTGGAAGTGTGTGTGTCCTGGTGGATCCACTCAGAAGAAGAGTTAAGGTGATTCCAAGTAGGTTAAAGGGTACTTGGCACCAACAAACCAAAGCAGTCCTTGAGGGACTGGAATGAGGAAAAAGAAACCCAGAAGGAGTAAGGATAGAGGCTGAGAAAACACTTGCCAGAAACAAAACTGCTTGGAGATAAAGTTCAAGAGCAATGTTGGGGATACCAGAAGGCAGATAGAGGGAAAGGCAAACAGAGTGAGCAGTGGAAGCCCTTGGAAAAATCCCCTTTATAGGCCTGAAATCCTTAACTGCCACCAAGAAATGATTTTATGTATTCTTTCCAAAGATGGACTACATATCATAATGAGAGAGGTAAACATGTAATATCTGCTGTAAATTCTCTACCTTAAAAATCCTTTTGGTTTTAAACTATGCTTTTGAATATTTATTTCTGTAAAACAGTAAGAAAAATTTGTCCATTAGTGTCCCAAATCAGGTTAAAGGAATAAAGGTGGATGTCATCCTGAACCTGTACTTTGTGACCTGACTGAGCAATGAAAAGGTCCAAACATTCCCATCTACAGGAGAATCTTTCAGGACAGCTGCAGGGTCTGGCCACGGGATAGTAGCCACCTCCTCTGCTGCTACCTGCATGACGGAATAAGCTAAACCACCCCAAGAGCCTGAGCTCCGGAATGCTGAAGTATCCCTTACCCCAGAAGTAAGAACAATGAGACGGGATGACGGAAAATCTCTAACTAGCTTTAAACTCTTGTAAACTCATGATCTCATGATTTTTATTCTTTTCTTATAAAAAAAGAAATTAAAGTTTAGAAGAGCATGAGCCTATCAGCAAGAGGAAGGTAGGGGGTCAGGTTATAAATGAGCATAGGAAAGGACAAGAAGATGCAACAACATATAGATACCAATGCTCCCCTAAATTAATATATGATTTAATGCAATAGCAACAGGATTTTGGAGTAATAGAAACTAAATAAGTAATTCTAAAGTTCATAAAAGAAAAAGAAATTACTGAAAAAAGTTTGGAGGGAGTAAGGGTAACTTGACCAGATATCGAAACATTACACAGAGCTCAAATAATTAAAATGCTGCTACATGAACAAACAGTAAGAACAATAAAGTAGAATAGAAAGACCAGAAATGGACCCAAATACATGCAGAAATTTAATAATTTAATATGTAATAAAGGTGGCATTTTATCAGAGAGGGAAGAAAAGGATTACTATAAAAGTTGCTGGGAGCAATTGGATAGGTATGTGGGAAAAAAATGAGTTGTAACCACACCAAACACCCTACACCAAAATAAATTCCAGATGGAGGCCGAGCGAGGTGGCTCACGCCTGTAATCCTAGCACTCTGGGAGGCCGAGGCGGGCGGATTGCTCAAGGTCAGGAGTTCAAAACCAGCCTGAGCGAGACCCCGTCTCTACCATAAAAATATAAAGAAATTAATTGGCCAACTAATGTATATAATATAAAAATCAGCTGGGCATGGTGGCGCATGCCTGTAGTCCCAGCTACTTGGGAGGCTGAAGCAGGAGGATCGCTTGAGCCCAGGAGTTTGAGGTTGCTGTGAGCTAGGCTGACACCACGGCACTCACTCTAGCCTAGGCAAGAAAGTGAGACTCTGTCTCAAAAAAAAAAAAAAAAAAAAAAAAAATTCCAGATGGAGCAATCATTTAAAAATGTAAAAAAAGAAAGAAAAAGAAAAATAGAAAGTAGAGAATAAACTATGAAAAAAGTTTTTTCATAATACTGTAGTGAAGAAGGCCTATCTAAGTATGGCACAAAATCCAGAAACTATAAAATAAAATAAACTGTATAAAAATCAAAGACTGGGTGTGGTGGCTCAGGCCTGTAATCCCAGCACTTTGGGAGACACAAGGTGGGACGATGGCTTGAGCCCAGAAATTCCAAGACCAGCCTGCGCGGTGTAGCAAGACCATATCTCTACAAAAAATAAAAAAATTAACCAGGCATGGTAGCAGGTGTCTATAATCCCAGCTACTTGGGAGGTTGAGCCAGGAGGATTGCTTGAGCACAGGAGATTAAGGTTATATAGTGACCTATGATTGCACCACTGCACTCCAGCCTAGGTGACAGAATGCGATCCTGTCTCTAGAAAGGAATAAAATACAAAAATAAAACTAAAAATTTAAAAACCTGCAAAACAAAAATCTCCATATGCAAAGACAAACAGCAAAAATAACACTGGAAAAACTGGAAAAATAACACTTGCACCTCACATGACAGATATAATACTTATTGTTTCTATTAGTTAAGAAATAGAGGTAAGGAATATAAACAGATAATTTGCAAAAAAAAAAAAATGGTATACAAATAGCCCTTAAAAATATGTACTGATCAAACTCATGAGAGAAATGCAAATTGAAGTTGCACAGAAATGCAATAGTGCAACTTTCGCATTGGCAATAAGGAAAAAGTTTGATAACATTGTGCTATCAGTCTGTGACCAAAAAATTTCTCCCATACACTGCTGGTGGGAATATAAATTGGTATAATCTCTATGGGGAGGCAATCTGTCAACAGCTATCAAAATTACAAATGTACCTCCGAACTAACAATTTGAGTTACAAGCATTCATTCTACAATTACTGAGAGAGAGAGAGAGATGGGGTATTCATTGCAGCAAAGTTTGTTACAGTAAAAACTTAGAAACAATCTAAAGGAACAACTTAAATAGAACAACTCAAACTCCTTCAATAGGAGTTAATATAATGTGGATTCAAAGAATGAGGCAACTCCAGCAGCACTGACGTGTAACAAACCAAAATATATGATATGGAAAAAAAGGCAGAAGTGCACAGTAACTTAATAACATCTGTGTGTGTGTTTTAAAACATGCCATGTATATATATGCTTTCTTATACAGAACACAGCGTATCTCTGTAAGGATATACAAGTATCATGTAACAATGGTTGCCTCTGGTGAGGAGAATGTGGCAGTTGGGAAATTAGGGTCAGAGGAAAACTTACTTTTTACTACAATCTTATTATGTACCTTTTGGAATTTTGTATCATATCATTCAAAAAATAAATACAGTAATCTAAAAAATAAATAAGATCCCAGATTGTCTTCTATAGGTTAACATTCTAGATATTGCTTCTCTTTGCTGGAGTGGCAGGAAATCTCCACAGTGTACCTAATCCCAGGAGAACAAGACTATGAATGAAGCACAAGAATCTCACCCCTGCTCAGCAGCTCCTTAACTCTTTCCTCTCCTTCCTCCCCGCTCCTATGTCTGCTCTTTGACTCACCTGTTGTCTGCGTTCCTCAAGCTCTCGCTGTATGTTTTCTACCACAGCCACCGCCTCCTCTCCGCTTTCGGGGTGATGTTCTCTCACCCAGGCCTGGAACTCCTCAGGCAGGATGGTCAGGAACTGCTCCAGCACCAGCAGCTCCAGGATCTGCTCCTTGGTGTGCAGCTCTGGCCTCAGCCACTCGCAGCAGAGCACGCGGAGTTGGCTGAGAGCCTCCCGGGGTCCTGATGCCTCATGGTACTGGAAATGCCTAAAGCGCTGGTAAAAAGTCTCAAACGTGGGCGGGTTGTACTCCTGCATCCAGGTGCAGTCTTCTTCTTCCACCTTCACTATTAGAAGGTCTTCTTGCTCCTGTGAAGTCTCAGCTGGAGGGTCTAAGTCTATAACTTCCCGGGATTCTGTCATTATCATTCCAACTCAGAGGGCAGTCTCTCCAGGCTGGCTGTGTTACACTGAACAGACTTATGTGCTGCTCTTTAAAATCTGAAGGACTCTTTCAGTAGCGCACAATCTACTGATGTATTGGGAATCATTATTAGCAAAGAGAGATGGCAAAGTGATCATCTATACTAACGGTGGCCACTCAACAAAGTAATTTTCTTAAAAATATGGACTACAAGGCAGCCGTCACTCCACCCATAAAACGATTACTAACAGAGAATATCTCCAACATTTAAGGTATGTAAAGGACAGCCATAAAAAATGTGACATCAGGCCCGACCTAAAACAGTTTTAGAGGTGAACTTTACATTTCATATAAACAATGGGACAAGACTTACTAACTAGTTCAGATGCAGCCGCTCCTTCTTTTTACCATAAGCCAAACTTTAGTCAGAATAGGGGTGAAAAACATTACAATGGTCAAAACTGGTGCTGTCCTTCAAGCTACAAGAGCTTGACAGGTCAACAGGAGACTTCAGCGATCCCGAAGAGAAGCGGCGCTATAGGTACAGATTTGGACCTGGGTTCCTTAGACTCGCCCCTGACCCGGAGACACGAAGATCGGCCAGCTCAAGGTTAGGGACAAGACCCCAGTCCGGACACAAAGCTCTATCCCCTCTCCTCAAGGCCCCAGTCTCGGGGAGCTCTCCTGGAAGATCAAGCTCCCCGCAGCCAAGGTTGGGAAGGTGGGGTTTTTCTTAAAACGGAGAGAAAACCGAAGCCAACACTTCCACGCCGGAAGTAAGCAAGTCCAAGCTTTCCCTGTCCAACCGGGTTAAACCTTAAATCCCACCCCCGAGAGCACTTCCGAGTCCTCTCTAGGAATCCCGGAGGTCCTAGCCTCGCAGCGGGCGGGAGGCGCCCGTCCCGGGAGGCGGGGGCCGTGCGGACCAATCGGTGGGGAGACCGGGCGCGGGCCCGGGACCCCAGTCCACCCGCCGTGACTGGGCCGCCCCCAGCCCCCCCGAAGCCGCAGGTACAGCATCGCCGGAGTAGCCAACGGAGCCGCTCTCTCCTCCACCCCACTCCAAAGCCATTTAAACTGCCCGAGCTCCTCCCTTCCTTGGGTGGGGGTGGGGGCGGAGCCTTAGGAGCCTGACAACAGTTGCTAGGGTCTGATTGGCCGTGGAGCTTGCGTCTCCCCCCCAACCCAACACTCTGCGCCCGGTTCGAAGTAAGTACGTACCTCTCTGCTAGCCCGCAACTCTCACTTATCGTTCATTTCGGGCCGTTGGGTATTTTCATCCGAATCGTCGCCACTCTCCCCACCCCCTCTCCAAAGACACCCACCTCTTTACCACCGCGGTCAGCTCCTAGGGCCGACATCTCCAACGTCAGGCTGTCCAGTTGAGGGAGCTAGTGGCTCCTGGGACTACATCTCCCAGGAAGCCCCGCGCGGGCCTCGCCGGTTGGCCAATGCGGCCGCGACTCTCTCCGCAGCCTCGGGCTCGCGGGCCTATCAGAACGTGGCAGGGCCGGGCGGCGTGTTCTCGGGCTCCCAGCCAAAAAGCTATGTGTGGGCCTCTTGTCTCCAGGGAGTGCCGCCCTGGCCCCGCGACTTCGTGAAGAGAGGCGCAATGTTCGTGCAGGGCCTCCCTAGACCAGGGGATCCCTTCCTTAATCTCTCATTTCCGTGTGGTGCCTTACGGTTTTCCAAGTCCTTCGCAGTTTACAGAATGGACAGGCAGGACAGCGTTACTATCGCCAGTCTTTTAGGGGCGCCGAGGAAAACACTGTGGAATTGCAGCATCTGCAAACGACGAAGAAGGTATTTAGAGGTTAAAGGTCTCTTTTCCGGGAGCCTAAAATCATGCATCCTGTAGGTAGCTTCCTGTCTAGGACAGAACCCCTGATGAATGTTTGCATTGTATATATTTTTTGTGTTAGTGAGTTGACCTTTTTCGTTTTCGTTTTTTTGAGACGGGGAGGCTGGTGTGCAGTGGCCATTTACAGGGACGATTACCGCGCAGTACAGCCTAGAACTCCTGGGCTAAAGTGATCCTGTCCCTCAGATTACTGAGTAGCTGGAACTACAGGCGTGCCATCGTGCCTGCCAACATTTAAAAATAAAAATAGCGGCTGGGCTCGGTGCCTCACGCCTGTAATCCTAGCACTCTGGGAGGCCGAAGTGGGCGCATCGCTCAAGGTCTGGAGTTCGAAACCAGCCTGAGCAAGAGCGAGACCGTCTCTACTAAAAAGAAATTAATTGGCCAACTCAAAATAAATAGAAAAAATTAGCCGGGCATGATGGCGCATGCCTGTAGTCCCAGCTATTTGGGAGGCTGAGGCAGTAGGACCGCTTGAGCCCAGGAATTTGAGGTTGCTGTGAGCTAAGCTGATGCCATGGCACTCACTCTAGCCTGTTGCCCAGGCAACAGTGAGACTCTGTCTCTAAAAAGATAAAATAAAAATAGAAGGAGAATCTATAAGGGGATGTGTAATAGAATTTTGCAGCTATGGTGTAATTTTGCTGCTCATTTAATTAGCTTAGTTTTTAAATGTATATAAAGGTTGTTTAAGCTGGCTATATATGTTTTCTAATATACTTACCTCCATTTAAATGACTTACAAATGCCCTTTACATTTTAATAGTTTCATTTTTCTTAAATAGATAACATTCTCATGAGTCAGAATTCAACATCCTATTCTACATCCATTTTTCTCCCTAGAGATAACCAAGATGACTAGTTTCTTTTTTTTTTATTTTTTATTTTTTCATATTATGGGGGTACAAATATTGTTAGGGTTACATATATTGCCCCTGCCATTCCTCCCCACGCCCTCCCCCCCCAAGATGACTAGTTTCTTATGTGCCTACCAAGGTATATTCCATGAATATTCAAGCAAATGTTATGTTCTATGTGTAAATGGTAGCACAATTTATATCCCTTCTCCACCTTACTGTTTTTATTTAATAAATCTTAGAGATTGTTCCCTAACAATACATGAAGAGTTTTCTTATTCTGCTTGCTGTCTGAATAGTATAGCATTATTCAAATATGCTGTACTTTATTTAATCCCTACTGGTGGACATTGAGGTTATTTCCATTTTTATCTATAATAAGCACTGCTCCACTATATAAATATCCATATATATGTCATTTTAGACATATGAAACTACTGTAGGATAAATTCTTAGAAGTGAAATTGACGGGTCAAAATGTAAGATATATGTACTTTTTCAGTTATACAGATATAGATATATCTTAACCTTTTGGCAAAAAAGCTATAGCTATAGATACAGATATAGATTTCTGTTGATCTGACTAGATAAATGCCCTGGACAAGCACAAGGACATGTAGAGAGGTTAAGTACAAATGCATAGTGGCACTTTATTCTTCTCTTCTCTGTCCAAGTATGCCCAACAATGCAAGACTGCTTTCCAACAACTCTGCCAAGTTTTCATGTCTCACCCCTCAGGTGACAACATTTGTCCCCAGAGTAACAATATATTTTTATCCTCTGAGGTTCATGTCTGGAAGACTTCACTAGGCTATCCCTCTTGACCTTGCTTAAATGTTTCCTCTATCTTTTACATTTTCAGGACTTCAAAGAATTAATACCATTATGTGAGGAAATGGACTACCAACATAGTTCAAAGGAAGGACACACATGTTGCAAGTTCAGGAGCACTCTGGATCACCAACTGGAAGTTCATGGATCCCCAAGATCACCTTCAGGTTCAATGATTTGTTAGAAGGACTCACAGAACTCATTGACAGTTATTACACTTACAGTTACAATTTATTGCAGCAAAAGGATACAAATTAAAATCAGCCAAGAGAAAAAGTATGTAGGATAGGATCTATGAGAGTTCCAATCATGGATCTTCCAGTTGTCCTTTCCCAGTGGAGTGGTGCAGCCAGTGCTAACATATTGCAGCAATGATGTGTGATAATACATACATGGTATTGCTGACAAGGGAAGCTCACTTGAGTCTTAATGTCCAAAGTTTTTACTGGGACTCAGTCATGTAGGCCTGGTTCACTGCCCACATGGCTGATCTTAGTCTCCAGTCCCTCTAGAGGGGTACCCCATGGCCCAAAGTACCCTCACCATAAATTACATTTCTAATATAGACTATCTAGCATGGCCCAAGACCCCAAAGTAAACATATATACTCTTATCAGGCAGGCTAGTCCAAGGATTTAGATATTACCTCCCAGCAGTTTAGGGCAAAGACCAAACTTTTCTTTGAGTAAGGTTAATCTTCTACTGCATGTGTGTCCTAAGCTTTTTTGCTTTTTAAATTTCTTTTCCCATTGCTAATCTTAATAGACACTTATGTCTGACTGAACAATAATTTGTAAGCCATGGAAAATAGCTAGAGTAGTATTATAAGATTCAATCCATAGAAGACATTTTTATGTCTAATTATTAAAGTAAACATACATGGATTGACCTTAAACATATATACTTGTTAATTATGAAATAGCTTATATTGGGTTTTGGGGGTTTTTGCTTCCTAGCTGTAATCTTTCCTATCTCTGGTTCCTTACGACTCTTACACTGTCTCCATAATATGTTTTCTTACACATATCTCCCCAAGCCAACAGAATATAAGAGTACCCACTGTGTTTAAGACATTATTTTAGGGTCTGGGTATTCAGGAGTAACCAAGACAGACAATAAAAACTTGTTTTCTTGAAAGAGCTTTTCTGTGATCTGTTAAAAATCCAACAATGTTTTGAACAGATTAATGATCCTGTTTTATGCCTGTTTTAGATATTAGAAAAATAAGTCTCATGGTCCTTAAATGACATCACCAAAACCATATCTTAAGCTTTTGGCAAAACCAGGTCTAGGAGGTCTTCTGATTTACAGCCCAGGGTTCTCTGCACTAAGTCATTCAAAGTTGTGTTAAATAAATCTCCAAGTTGTCCCTAAGGTAAACATTTGGAATAAAAACGTTAAAACAATATAGAATAGAGAGTTGGGTATTGTTATGCTGTTCCAGTACCAGATCTAACACTTACTAGCTGTGTACACTTTGGGTACATTCCTTATTTTCCCTGGTTGTCAGTTAATGGTACTAACCTAGAAGGTTGTTATAAGTGTAGAGACATAGCCCTTCAAAGTTGTTAGCCCATAATAAGTGCTCAATAAGTGTTGGCTTTCATTATTAATCATGTTATCCAGAAGGGTATGGGTGAAGGTTCTAGCAGATAGAAGGCAGAAAAGGCTGGGGAGTTCTCTGTAAGTATTTTTTGAGATAATAGGAGGAGAGTTGAAAGTTGGTGGCTGCTCTCAGTTCTTTCTCCTTTTGCTCTAGAATGTCTCCCACTTGTCCCCTTTAGAACCTAGAGGCTTCTCAGAAATTTAAATAAACCTATATAGTGCATACTGTTATGGGTTAATTGGGTAACCCCCCCCCCAATTCATATGTTGAAATCCTAACCGCCAATAACTCAGAAGGTGACCTTATTTGAAGATAGGATGTTACCAAGTTAAAATGAGGTCATTATGGTGGGCCTGACGCCATTATGACTGATGTTCATATAAAAAGGAAATCTGGGGACAGACTGCATGCAGGGAGAATGTCATATGAAGACAATGGCAGAGATTGGGGTGATGCCTGGAGTAGAAGCACAATATGTGGGCATCTGTTTCTTGAATGAATGGATGGATGAATGAATCAACCAGGTAGCTTTAGGGGGAAAAAAAATACAATAAATGGAACATTATAGCTGTGGAAAGCCCTGGGCTTTGGAGTTTGAAATGGGCATGTTGGTCTCATTCATCAAGTTACTCACAGTTTGACATCGGGCAAGACACACAGCTTCTGTGAGCCTCAATTTCATCATCTTTGTTAGGATCAAAGGCATTAAAATTTGATGTACATAGAAGAAATTGGTTAAAAAAAATTCCCCCCAACTCTGAATTATTTCACCATTTTTTAAAGGACTGTAGCGCTCTTCACTGAGGACTGAACTCTGATCTTTTTCTTTTGCTAAAAACGCCTTTCTAAGGAGGCCAGCTGGGTCAGGCTGGCAAACAGTAAATTCCCATTAAGCGGCTTTTGTTAACCAAATAATGCGGTGGTTTACTTCCGAACCTGATTCCTGTATGGCATTAACTTCACCTAAAAGATAAGAAGCCCCTATCTAGGCCGGGCGCTGTGGCTCACGCCTGTAATCCTAGCTCTTGGGAGGCCGAGGCGGGCGGATTGCTCAAGGTCAGGAGTTCAAAACCAGCCTGAGCAAGAGCGAGACCCCGTCTCTACTATAAATAGAAAGAAATTAATTGGCCAACTGATATATATATAAAAAATTAGCCGGGCATGGTGGCGCATGCCTGCAGTCCCAGCTACTCGGGAGGCTGAGGCAGAGGGATCACTCGAGCCCAGGAGTTTGAGGTTGCTGTGAGCTAGTCTGACGCCATGGCACTCACTCTAGCCTGGACAACAAAGCGAGACTCTGTCTCAAAAAAAAAAAAAAAAAAAACGCATATCCTTTCTGGTCTTCTAGATAAAGTCTAACTCAGCCAATTGCCAGCCAAAGAATCTTTAAACCTACCTATGACCTGTAAGCCCCTGCTTTGAGATGTCCCACTTTTTTGGGCCAAACCAATGTATGCCTCTCATGTATTGATTTGTGACTTTGCCTGTAACCCGTCTCTCTGAAAATGTATAAAACCGAACTGTAACCCAGCCACAGCGAGCCCACTTGCTCAAGGCTTCTTGAGAGTGGCTCCAGGCCATAGTCCTCAAATTTGGCCCAGAATAAACTTCTTTCAAATATTTCAGGGTTTAGATGTTTTCTGTCCACATCACCATCATTTTAAGATGATTTGTTTCATCAGCTCAGAGCCTAAAATGGTTTTGGCAGACAAATCTATGTTGAGGCCCAGCTAACTGGATATTTCCATGAAGTTGGTACTAGAGTCTTTAAAATACCCATTATTTTAAGAATCATTTGTTGGAATTGATTTTTGTGAGGGGTGGAAAGTGCAGGTCCTGTGTCAGTCTTTTGTTTGAGTTGATTATTGTGAGAGATGAGAAGTGCGCGTTTTTGTGCGAGGTGACAAGTGCGGATCCTTTTTCAGTCTGGCGCTCGGCCATCGGGTGGGAAGCCCGTTATTTTCTTGCCCGGCAGGAAACGGCCTAGGACCGGCTGTCCCCCAACCAACGGAAGACTGTAAACCACCGAGATGCATCTCGCTCGCTGCGCCGCCTTAAGAGGCCCCGAAATAGCTGGGGGGGGGGGCTCCGCGGGGAGTCGGTGACGCACTTCCGGCCTGGGTTAGTTGTGTCCAGGGACTAAGGCCCGGTGGCTGCGGAAAAGGGGAAGTGCGGAAGAGAGGCCGGGCGCAGAGGGGCAGGTGCTTGGTACGCGACGGTGGTGCGCCTCAACTTTGGGGAGAGCGGATGAGGACCTTGCGTTTGCTCTCTCCTCGCCTGAAGGCGAGCCTCTGGGAGAGCCCGCATATGCTGGAGAAAGGTGCGTTCGGCCCTGACCGGACAGAGGCGTGGCAGTGACGCCGAGGCCGCAGCCTGGGTAATGGCTGCGAGGTCCAGGGACGCCGCGTCGCTCCTGCGTGATGGACTTTTGACAGTGAAAGTGGAGGAAGACTTACCTGGAGATCAAGAAGACGACCCGCCCGGGGGCTGGAAGGGCCCGGAAACTTCTCGACAGCGCTTTAGGCAGTTGCGTTACCAGGAGATGGCTGGACCGGAAGAAGCGCTGGACCGACTCCGAGAACTTTGTCGTCGGTGGCTGAGGCCCGAGATGCACTCGAAGGAGCAGATCCTGGAGCTGCTGGTGCTGGAGCAGTTCCTGACCATCCTGCCCGAGGAACTGCAGTCCTGGGTGCGGGAGCACTGCCCGGAGAGCGGGGAGGAGGCTGTGGCCGCGGTGCGGGCTCTTCAGAGAGCCCTTGACAGGACCTCGCCCCAGGTGAGAAGTGAAAGGTCTGTTCTGGCTATGTGAGACTCCGACACACGTCCCTTTTCCTTCCTTATTACATTTTGTGTGAACTTTAGGATGTGCATGAACTTTCCTTTCCACAGGAAAAATGACAGATCTATCAAGGACATGAGTTATAGACCTCAGTGTAAAGGTAACGTGGATTACTGTTTATCCGTTGAAAGGCATCCTCTTGTCTTACTTGACTACTTGGCAAAGACTGATGTCATCATGAAAAGTGAGCTCATATCCTTTTTTAGAACAGAAACTCTCCATCATTTTTAATGTGAGGTTCTCTTTTTTTTCTTTCTAACGGTTTGGCGACCCCCTCCTCCCACATTGATAATGGTTGTCCTTTTTTATTTTTCAATCTGCAAACTTTATGTGGTGTTCCAGGGAGGGTTGGCAGCGCAGCACTGGTGGGCTTTTGCAAAAGCAGACTCAATATAATTGTAATTCGTAGAATACTCTTGAATTTAAATAAGGCATGTTTCACTGAGGGACAGCCAATGTACCTAATTCTGTACTTTTTGTTTTTTTATCATTTCATCCCGTTTAGCTGCTGCTGGACCAAACAAAGGCAAAGCTAACTAGTTTTACTCATCAAAAACATACCGTGCAGCAGGTGAGAAAATCCAATATGGAGTGATGATATGGTGTTAAGACATTAGCAGATATTAATATGTATGATCTTATTTCATTGCTGCATGTCAGTTGTTTAGGCTTTTCACGGTTTACCTTTCATACTTCTGCAAATAACTCCATATCACTCCTCCATGAAAAACAAAAATTTACAGGGCATTTTATTGTATAGGTCTCATCACTATTAAACAGCTGATTACAGTTCTCCAACTTTGATTTTAAAGGTGGGAAGAGAGGAATCTCAATGGGATAAGCAGCAGCCATAGGTTTTCCAGTCCTAAGCACTGAGGATTCCTAGCACAGTCATGTGTCATTTATTGATGGAGCTACATTCTGATAAATGTGTCATTAAGTAATTTTGTCATTGTGCAGAGATCATAGAGTATACTCACACAAACCTAGATGGGGTAGCCTACTACACACCCTAGGCTATGTGCTATATAGCCTGTTGGTCCTAGGCTACAAACCTGTATAGTATGTTACTGTACTGAATATTAAAAGCAGTTGTAACACAGTGGGAATTATTTATGTTCTTTTACTGTCATGGTCATCATCTCTCTAGAGGCAAGGACACGGTGTAACTTAAGCTAGAAATAAGGGAGGCATGGCATGAAGCCAAATTCTAAGGAAAGGTACAAGTTGCTGAGGCTACTGAGAATCTAAGGACAGGCCTGACCTCGTTACTGCCCATCTGATGTGCAGGGAAGAGTCCAGGAAGGTTTTTTGCACCTAATCATACTTTCTACAGTCCCTGGTATCATGTCTCACACACTGTAGTGATTATTGAGTTTTCTGTGGATTTTAATGTGATATAAGTAAGAGGGTGGTGGGTGATGGGCCCTGCTGTTTCAGGGCCAGAGGTAACCGTTGAAAGATGGTGTTTTATATTCTTTTATGAGATGGTCAGTCAAGTGCAACCACAAGAGGAGACACTGAGGAAAGCAAAGTTTACTATACTTTCAGGTCCCGGAGAGAGGAGGCTTGCCACACCATGCAGCGCTGCATGGGGAAGCACCCAAGGTAGTCATGAGGCAGAAGGGACAGGAGTAAGGGGAGGGCCCAAGCCACAACCTTCATTGGAGATTCCCTTGAATGGCAGGGCAGGGCAGGGCATGCTTGGTGTGGGGTGTGGGACATGGGCAGCACTTTAAGACTGGCTAATTTGAATAATTACAGCAGGCTCTAAGGTGTGGTCCCAGTTGCCTGGTACTTGGTCCTAGGAAGATTGAGGGAGGAGTACTACCTCCTGGGGTTTATGGGCCAGACAGAGGAAGTAGGGCTCTGGATTGGTGGGTTTGTATAGCAAAGGCTTATATCAAAGCCCTTTGCTATATCTAAGAACTGGCTACCCTGGGAGGGGCAGTTTCTCTCCAGCCACAACGATTTTTAAAGATGTCAAAATATATTATACAGAAAGTAAAATATACACATATGTATATACATACACGTACACACAAACAATATAGTGAGCAAGAAAGACTTGGAGTCAGTGTGTGACCCTCAGTGGAACCTAGACAAACGTCTCTGTCACCAGTTTTAGAACCTTCCCTTTCTAAGAATTGTGGCTTTAACCTCTGTGAATGGTCAACTTACATTTGAATAAGCTATCTCAGAAGATCACCTGGTTGGCTAATTATCTTATGGAAGTGGTCAAGGGAAGGGAAAAGCAGTTTTACTGAGCACCTGCTGTGGGTGAGGTACCTGCATCTGCTTGAGATATTTGTATCTGTTGCATACGTGAAGAAACAGCGTCTCAGAGAGCCAGCCTTGGAACTTGGGAGTTTCTGGTTATGTTTTTATTTTTAATCTACATCATGTTTCCATTTTGATAAATCACAGCAATAGAACTCCAATATTATGCTCCTGCCTATCTCAAAATAGTGTAGACAGTCCAGAGAAAGGGTTTCAGGATAAGGAGAGAATGTCAGCCTCTGTCTTTGGTCCTTTGATACTCTTGGTCAGGACAAGACTCCATACTTGATCCTAGTCAGAGGCCGAGAAGCAACAGTACCAGCTTCTTCAGCCACAGTTATTGCATTATTCTCAGAGCTCCCTCCTTACTCTCTAGAGTCTGGCCTCATCCTAAGACCAGTGGTAATGCTGTCCAGAGACAGAAAGTACTGAATGGGGATCTTGTATTGTTCCAGGGGATGGTGATGTTTGAAGACATGGCTATGGCTCTAACCTGGGAGGAATGGGAGCATCTGGACCCAGCTCAGAAAGACTTCTGCAGGGAGAGCACACAGAAGGAATACGGGAGCACAGTCCCGCTCAGTGAGTGCTGTTATTCTCCTGGTTTACAGTCCTGTTTGTGCGTGCGTGCGTGTGTGTGTGTGCGCGTGCGTGTGTGTGTGTGCCTGCACGTGCATGTGTGTGTGTGTGTGTGTGTGTGTGTGTGTGTGTGTGTGTGTGTGAGAGAGAGAGAGAGAGATATGTATGAAGGACTGGGTTCACTACCACCTCTGAGCCAGTCTGCCATTCACAGACCTGGGCCGAGAGCCTTCGAGTTTTTTCGTAACCCAGGCAGGACCCTTGTGTTCTGTATTGCCAGGTGCTAGGGTTCAGCTTTTTATTTTGGTTAATTTTTAATATTTCATACATACATAAAAGTATTTTAAAAAGATAATGAGCATCCCCTGTACCTACCACCAGTCTATGAAATCTTACTTCTTGGCCATACTGGCTTCATTTTTTTTTTCTTCCCCCAAAGAAATTCCCCTCGCTCCTTCTCCTGATTGTGGTGATTGTGGTACTTAACCATTTCCATTCAGGCTTTGTATTCTCTCTAAATATACATGTAGCTACACACTATATAGCATTAATATATGTTTTTTTCTTAACATTACATTTTTGAGATTTATCCATGTTGATACATATAGCTCTATCGTAACAAATATGTGCCCAGGCGCGGTGGCTCACGCCTGTAATCCTAGCTCTCTGGAAGGCCGACGGGCAGATTGCTTGAGGTCAGGAGTTCAAAACCAGCCTGAGCAAGAGCGAGACCCCGTCTCTACTATAAATAGAAAGAAATTAATTGGCCAAATAATATATATATAGAAAAAATGAGCCGGGCATGGTGGCACATGCCTGTAGTCCCAGCTACTTGGGAGGCTGAGGCAGCAGGATTGCTTGAGCCCAGGAGTTTGAGGTTGCTGTGAGCTAGGCTGACGCCATGGCACTCACTCTAGCCTGGGCAACAAAGCAAGACTCTGTCTCAAAAAACAAACAAACAAATATCTGTTTCACTATATGAATACTCTAAAATTCATCTATCCATTCTTTTGATGGGCATTCAGGCATCTAGTTTTTCACCATTACAGTGTTACACCAAACATTCTTGTATATTATTAGATATTTTTGTATATCTGTTCATATATTGGAGTCTCTGAAGAGCATATACTTAGAGATATACAGTAGTCCCTCCTCTGTAGTTTCACTTCCCATGGTTTCAGTTTCCCATGGTACAGCACAATAAGAAATTTGAGAGATCACATTCATAAGACTTTTATTACAGTATATTGTTATAATTGTTCTATTTTATTAGTTATTGTTAATTTCTTAATGTGCCTAATTTATAAATTAAACTTTATCACAGGGATGTATGTATAAGAAAAGGCATACCATATTTAGGGTTTCATACAGTTTCAGGCATGCACTGAGGGTCTTGGACTGTATGTAAGAGGGGACTACTATGTGTTCATCTTGCTGTCCAAAGAGCTGATAACTAGTGTATACACCTGCCAGCAGTATATGAAAATTATTCTTTCTCCACATTTGGTGTTATCAGTTGACAGCATGCCATTTTCCCACAGTAGCTTGAGTGTTCCTTTTCAAATATTGGGCCGTGTCACTGCTCTGTTCAGAACCTACAGTAGCTCCAGTTTCACTCAGGGTGAAAGCCCTTGGCCTATGATGCCTGATGTGCAGGGGCCTCACCACCCTGCTCACCCATCCCCTGCTCTGCCCCTCATCCCTCTGCTCTGGCCACACTGCCTTGCTGCTCCTGAACATGCCAGGCATGCTGCCTCCTGGTTTTTGTGCTGGTTGATCCCTCTGCCTGAAAGGTTCTTCCTCCAGCTCTCCACGAAGTAAACTCCCTGACATGCTTCAGATCTTTGCTCAGATTGCTCTTTCTCAGGCCTGACCTGACAACCTATTTAATGCTGCAACTTGCCTACCACAGCCCCCTTGTCCTCTGCGCCTGCCCCCATGCAGCTGATCTCTGGTTGTGCTCAGCTTTTTCCACAGCATTTAGACCTATCTAACATCCTGTGTGATTGACTTCATGTTTACTTACTGTCGGACTACCCCTTCTAGAATGTAGACTTCTCAAGGGAGAGATCATTGTCTGCTTTGTTGATTAATTTATTCTGAGGACATGGAGTAGTGCCTGGCATGTAGTAGTGCCTCTCTCAGTTCTTTTTTTTTTTTTTATATTTTTCTTTATACTTGGACATTGACTTGGAACTCTCTCAGTTCTGTAGGTTAAGCATCTTAGCAATGTTTTGTGGGCATTCTGGCTTCTTTTCCTATGACTTGCCTGTTTATATCCCTTCTCTCCCCTCCTTTTTTCCATTATCTTTTTAAAATTGCTTGGTAGCAGTTATTTATATTTTTGATACTAATCCTTTGTTGCTTTATTGGTTATATAGGTGGCTTATCTTTTTATCATGGCATCTTTTGTTATATAGGATTTTTAAATTTAATATAGTCAAATCTTTTAAACTTTTATGGTTTGTGTTTTTTGAGTCTTAAGAAAATATCACTTCCCAATCCTGATTTCAACTTTGCGGAGGCAACAAGTTTAAAATCTTTTAGCTGTTTATTCAGGTATTGGTTTTCCTGTTTCTTATTTTTTTTTTATTTTTTTTATTTTTTGAGACAGAGTCTCACTTTGTTGCCCAGGCTAGAGTGAGTGACATGGCGTCAGCCTAGCTCACAGCAACCTCAAACTCCTGGGCTCAAGTGATCCTACTGCCTCAGCCTCCCAAGTAGCTGGGACTACAGGTATGTGCCACCATGCCCGGCTAATTTTTTCTATATATATTAGTTGTCCAATTAATTTCTTTGTATTTATAGTAGAGACGGGGTCTCGCTCTTGCTCGGGCTGGTTTTGAACTCCTGACCTCAAGCCATCTGCCCGCCTCAGCCTCCCAGAGAGCTAGGATTACAGGCGTGAGCCACCGCGCCTGGCCGGTTTTCCTATTTCTAAATAAGGTTTATTCTGCTATTTTTTCCCAATTCCAGTTATTGTCTCTTGATTGCCTACTGAGGAAGAATTTTTTCATCTTCATGTACATACTTAACAGTCCACAATTCTCTTATTATAGTTAGTCTTTCTGGTTAATTGATATATAATGTTTCAATATTATCTATATTCACCTACATAATATCTTTTCTTTTTACAACTTTTAGTTTTCCCTGGAATTAATAATACCTAATTTTGCATTTGCCAACTTTTCTTACTACCGATCAGTAGTTCACCCACAAACTTTGTATTAGAAATGTAAAATCCCCTCAGTATGTTCAGTTATATCAGATGTGTAAGCAGTTTTGTTCTTCCCCTTGGAGAGATGCGTCCTAGAGCATGCTCTGCTCTGGTGTGAGTGGGCTGCTTCTTCCCCAGGCCTGTAACACAGCTGCAGCCTAAGACATCTTCGCATCGCCCTAGGAATTCCTTTTCTCTTTGCTGGATCTCATAACATTTTCTTCCTTGGTTTGGTGGAGAATATCTTTTAGTATGTTCCAGAGAACATATACTTGGGAACTAAATCTTTTGAAACTTTGCATGTCTGAAAATGTCTTTATTTCTCTCTCACATTTGGATCAGGTTATGGATGTATAGAACATTCTATATTAGAAATGATTTTGAAGATAGTGAATTTTCTAGCTAGTTTACCAGGTAGCTACTGAGAATGCCATTGTGATATTTTATCCTTGGTATGTATATTATTTTTAATATTCTGTATATTACTATATTTTGGCATCTTACAAACTTTTCTGGCTGGAGAGAGCCTATCCTTCCCAGGGTAGCCAGTTCTTAGAGACAGCAAAGGGCTCAGCCTTTGATGTAAGCCTTTGCTATGCAAAGTCACCAACCCAGAGCCTGCCACCTCTGGCCCATACACCCTGGGAGCCAGTACTCCTCTGCCTTAATCACCCCAGGGCTAGGTACCAGGCAGTCCTAAACTGTTCACCCTGCCTTGTCTTTCTCACGGAAACCTCAATAAAGCCTCTGGCCTAGTGCTGTCTGTTCGCTCCTTTCTGCCTCCTAATCACCCTGGGTCTTTGCCATGTGGCCCTGCATGGTGTGATGTGCCTCCTGTCTCTAGGACCTGTGAGTACATAATTTTTCCTGTTCCCTTTCTGGAATTTCTCTTGGTTGTTGGGACTCATAGACTGATACTCTAAGCACCACCCCTTCACCCCAATTTTCCATTTTTTTGTCTTTTGTTTCCACTCTCTAGATTTCCTTAGCTGTATTTCCCAAGCCTTATGCTGAAATATTTGTGTTACCACTTATATTTTCATGAACTTTTTCTGATTCTTTAAACAGACCTTTTCTTATAGCCTCCTTGTCTCCTGAATGTAGTATCTTATTTATCTGAGAATATTATCTTTTATTAAATTTTCTTTTGTTTCACACAGTATGTGTCTCACCAGCATTTATATTAGAGGTTTTCCTGAAAAGTTGGTAACCTTTCAATTTCCATTTGTGTTTAATAGTCAAAATAAGAATTTCATCCCCAAACTGTGTGTAATGGGGCAGGACTTGTGGACTGGTGATCCTCACTATGAGGTTGGTCATCAGGTGTTGTTTGATTTGAGAATTCCCATATGTCAGTGTCTTTAGGTGTTTGGGCCTGGGCTGGTAATTTTTCCATACAGAGATTCATTCAAGAAATATTTATGGAGTATCCACAATAAGCCAGGTGCTGTTCTAGGTGCTAGGGATACAGTTGTGAATACAGCCTATGAATAGGCATAAAAATCCCTGACCATTCTGCCTGGAGAATGGAAGCTTTGGAGCCAACAATTTGGGACCTGAGCAGAGGAGAGTGCATTAAGGTTCTACCAATTCTGTGTCAGTCTTCACTTGATTCCCTTGATTTGACAGTGTAGCCATCCTGTTCTCAGCCATGCCCGATGTCCTAATCCTGAATTTATCTAGTTCTGCCTTCCTGGAGAATAAGCTGCAAAGCTTTTGGACTAGGGGATGGAATCTGGTGGCTTGTCTGTTCCTTTATAGACTTTCAGCCAGTGCTGGATTGTCCCCCCCCCCACCTTATCTTCAGAAATTGGAGGCACCAGCTGTGTCTGCTATTACAACTCATCCCGTGAATAGGATTTCTGTTGTTGGACCATCCTTCAATCATGGGATAAAGGCTTTGCTTCCTTTCTTGACACACCTTCCAAATTGACCTCTCATGAGGCAGTGACTTACCCAGCAGTGAGGCAGAGCAGAGGTAAAAGAGATAGATTGCTGAGAATAGGCAGAGTTATCAAAGGAGAGGAACTGGATGTGTACTGGTCAGTGTGAGCACGTCTATAGGTTAAAGATTTCAGGAGGGTTTACTGGAGGATATTTAACAGGGACTTTGGGGTGGGGTTCTTCTGCCACAACTTATTTATTTCAGTCTTGCACAAAGATGATTATGGCAGCAATTTGTATTTTAATGTTTCAGGTTTGGAGAACACACCTGAGAACAAACAGTTGATTCTAAAGCAAGAGATATTAGAAGCTGAGCCACAGGGGTGGCTACAAGAAGTGTTCCAAGGGAAGTCCCCCCTGTTTTCTGAGCATGGTGATACCCATGAGGACAGACTAGAAAAGCAATCAAGAAACCCTTCAACAATGAAACTTGGAAATTCTCCTGAAGGGCAAGGACTTACCAGCATCTCAGATCTCAACATAAATGGTTCCACAGAAGGGAGAGACTCTAAAAATAATGAATTTGGGAATGGTGCCAGATGTTCCAACTTTGTTCTTTGTCAGCACATTCAGAAAGCAGAGAGGCCCATTGATGGTGACGAACATGGGAACAAATGCAAACAGAGTTTAGATATAGTAAGACATCATGTGGTGAAACCTCACAAGTCTACTGACAGTGGAGAAAATGCCCATCGTTCAAGGCTATGTGAGAAACAGACGTGGTTCCGTGAAGAAAGACCTTATAAATGTGACATCTGTGAGAAGAGTTTCAAACAACGTTCTGACCTCTTTAAACACCAGCGAATCCACACAGGCGAGAAACCCTATATATGCCAAGAATGTGAGAAAAGCTTTAGTCAAAGTGCTGCCCTGATTAAACACCAGAGGACACACACAGGTGAGAAGCCTTATACCTGTCCAAAATGTGGGGAATGTTTTAGACAGAGTTCACATCTAAATCGGCATCAAAGAACCCACAGTGGAGAGAAATATTATAAATGTGAGGAATGTGGGGAAAGCTGCCATATTTCCAGCCTTTTTAGACATCAGAGACTACATAAAGGGGAGAGACCCTATAAGTGTGAAGAATGTGAGAAGAGCTTCAAGCAGCGCTCTGACCTCTTTAAACATCAGAGAATACACACTGGGGAGAAGCCTTATGGATGTTCTGTCTGTGGGAAAAGCTTCAGTCAGAGTGCAACCCTCATTAAACACCAGAGAACTCACACTGGAGAAAAACCTTATAAATGTCTTGAATGTGGGGAAAGATTTAGACAAAGTACACACCTTATCCGACACCAAAGAATCCATCAAAATAAAGTCCCATCATTTTGATATGCTCCTGCATGACGTATTTTGTTTCATTGTCCAGAACTACGTTCTTTGGCATTATAGTATTTCAGTCAATCATGGATCATATTTCCTCAGGTATCTCACACCAGATAGGTTCAGTGTGGGTCTCAATACATATTCTGATAGTATTTCAGTAAACAGGAATAAGGAAGTAGGAAACTCTCCAAAAGATGACCTGGTGCCAGTAAGAGACTTCTGATGATAAGAGCAAGGCTGACATGTGACAGGCTTCTGTCCTTGTCATCTGTACTCTTTTGTCATCTGCTTTTGGACCAAATCTTGCCCACTTCCATTTCTTCCCAAAGAATTCATTTTAGTAACTTAGAATGGCCTCTTTCCTTAGATAGTGGAGAAGATTCCCACTACTTCATAATCCTAAAAACTCCTGGTAAAGTTCAGTACATACAAGAGACACTATATTTTTTACTTTTTAGTCAGTTAAGTTTGTGACCTAGAACTATAATTTTGGGGAAAATAAAGGAAAAAATATAATTTTGCAGACTCCCTCTCTCCCATTGTAGGAGCCTAGGAGTTCAGTTTTGTAATTTGATTTCTTTTAAAACAAACAAAAAAACCCCATCCAGCTATACACAATTAATTCTTCTCATTGCATCCATTTCACAGATTATTGAATAGGGTCCTTCACATGAAAAGTTTTGTTTGTTGTATGGTCATCACTAAACCTTTCACTAAATTGTGTGTGTTTGGGCACTTAAGATGTCAGACAACTTCAAACATCTCTTCTGCAGAGGCTGCTTCCTGTGGGATATGAGGAAGTGCTCCTGCAGGACTTCTTGGGGATGTACCAGAAGGGGACACTGGGCACAGAAGTAGCAATATTAACTGACATTATCTAATACTCTGTTCATAAAGTGCATTGATGTACATTTCTCTGTTTGAATTCCAAGCATCCCTCTGAGGTAAGTAGGAACCTATGTTATCCCCATTTATAAAGCAAGAAACAGGTTCATGTTTGATACTCCACAATGGGGTAATTTCACTGCTTGCATAGTAAATGCAAGCTTTCCCCTTCCCCTGAGTGTGTGGCTACCACCCCACAATTCATATACTGTCTCTTGTCCCCATCTTCCTTGCCCCCTGCTCCTGCTGGAGCCTCCCTCTACAGTGGTGAGCTCTGGAGCCCAGAAGTGGTGATGGAAATCAGTGGGTGCATGCACACCCTCATGGCCAGAAATATGAGCTCTGAGTTGAAAACTTGATTGTTCCTGGGGCCGGGCATGGTGGCTCACGCCTGTAATCCTAGCTCTCTGGGAGGCTGAGGCGGACAGATCGTTTGAGCTCAGGAGTTCGAAACCAACCTGAGCAAAAGCAAGACCCCATCTCTACTATAAATAGAAAGAAACAATTAAAAATTATTAAAAATAATTGTTATTTTATTAATAATTATTTATTAATAATTTGTTATTTATTGATAAAATAATAAATTTATTACCGAAATAAAATTCATTAATAATTATTATTGATAAAATAATTGTTAAAATAATTTAAAAATAATAAATAGAAAGAAATTAATTGGCCAACTAATTTTTTCTATATAGAAAAAAATTAGCCGGGCATGGTGGCACATGCCTATAGTCCCAGCTACTCGAGAGGCTGAGGCAGGAGGATTGCTTGAGCCCAGGAGTTTGAGGTTGCTGTGAGCTAGGCTGATGCCACTGGACTCACTCTAGCCTGGGCAACGAAGTAAGACTCTGTCTCAAAAAAAAAAAAAAAAAAAAAAGAAAGGAAGATTGTTCCTCAATGTCTCAGCACTGCCTTTTCCCACCCTCCAACAGATGCAAGGTGGCTATGGGGTTGGCTTTGTTATCCCTGTTGGGCTTAACTTTAGACACACAACTATTTTCTGAAAGAACTCAGGTTAGAGCATCAAACTATCTTATTACCTTTCCATTTCTGCACATTGATAACAAGTACTACATCCCAATTCTGTTAGAACCTTAATTCTTTTAATCAAAGGAATATAAGCACATTATTGGATATTTGGAAGAATGACAGAAGAAAAAATTAATCCCTACACTTTTGTCTACCTGTTATTGGCATTATTGGATAGTTCTGGGTTTTTTCTACGCATTTTTTTTTTTGCTTTTTAATTTTTACTCCAAAGTTCTGCATGCCACATATTTTTAAATAATAAAAATCATAGTGCTTTTATATCCTTAAATTTAACATTGTCTTAAGAATCTTAACATAAGGTCTTCATACTCTACGCCTAATAGCTGCATCATTCTCCATCAAGTGAATGTAATTACATTCCTTTTGTTGGATATTTCTAATTTTTTATTGTGGACAATGCTATAGTGAATATCTTAATGAATATAATTTTAGCATAATTTAGATTGTTCCATAGAATCTAAGGCTAGACACCCAGAAGCAGAATTTCTCAGCGAGGGAACTATTCTATGGCTGTAAATGCACATTCCTATTTGCTTTCCTTGCCTAGTATTAATTTTTTCCTTAAATGTACAAAAACAAAAACCAACTCCATTGCCTTCCAGAACTCACCCCCCTAACCTCAGACATGGTAGAATAATGGTACATGTTCTCGCCTATGACTCCTTATAGCCAGCAGAAGGGAATTGTGAGACTGGGTAGGCGCATTGAGGCTTTAGGGTGTCCTGCTGAGAACTTTATCTGAGATGGGATTCAGAGCACTGGGCTGAGGGTGAGCAGATGTGTACATGGTTTCAGCTCAAGTAGGCCAGGAGCTATATCATTTTGGAAAAAGAAGATAGTTATATAATTTTGCTTCTGTGCCTACAGTTCTTAGCTCTACTATTTTATAGCATTTCTCATGTAGGAATCCAAGGAGATAAAAACCTTGTAAGGTATGCCAGTGTTTTCCCCAAGCATGTCAGGGTTATTTACCTAAGGTGATATACCTAGTCAGCAACAGTCATATATAACCTGGCACAGGGAACTGATCCTAGTTCTTTTATTATAGGAACTCCACAAACATACAATGCATTGTCTTCTCTGCATTTTTAGTACCCCCCCCCCTCATTTTTATCTTCCTCTTCTACCTCTGCTACAGACGTTTACTGTTGCCCATGTAGTACTTGAATTTTCCACATCTCCATGTGGAATATACCTTTGGTCAAAGTGCTCCCTCTGCTTGGGAACTCAGCTCCCGTTCCCCAGCCCCAAACCACCAAATCAACAAAGGAAAAACTCCACTCATAAAACAGTTTTAAAATATTGCTTCTCAATCATTCTGCCCCAAAATATTTGCGTAACTATAGCACTGTCTTACTCCAGTAGGACTGCTACAACAAAATACCTTAGACTTGATAAGTTACACACACACACACAAAAAAACCAAATTTATTGCTTACAGTTCTAGAGGCTGGGAAGTCCAAAATCAAGGTGCTAGTATATTTCATGTCTGGTGAAGGCTGGCTGTCTGCCTCAAGGATGCTGTGTACTCACGTGGAGGAAGGGACAAGGGAACTCACTGCAGCCTCTTCTGTAAGGTCACTAATGCCATTCCTGAAGGTGAATCACTTCCCACATGCCCATCTCCTAATACTATCACATTGAGTATTAGGTTCCAACATATGAATTTGGGGGTGGGGACAGGGACACCAACATTCAGACCATGGCCAACACTACTTTTAGGCTTACCATGCAAACTGTTACATACAATGAATGTGCACATGCCATCTCTGATCCCTAGATTGTAAAGGGTGTCTTAGTCTGTTCATGCTATGATAACAAAATACCATGCACTGGGGACTTGAACAACAGACATTTATTTTCTCACAGTTCTGGAGGCTAGAAATCCAAGATCAAGAAAGGTAACAAGGTAGGTTTCTGATGAAGCCTTTCTTCCTGGTTTGTAGATGACAGCCAGCTGGCTGTGTCCTCACAAGGCCTTTCCTATGTGTATGTATGGAGACATCTCTGGTGACCCTTCCTCTTCTTATAAGACAGAAGACCCTATAAGGATTAGAGCCCCCCTTATGACCTCATTTAGTTTTTTTGTTTGTTTGTTTTTATCACATCATTTATGTTCCTACTTAAGCTTCCATCTCCAAATACTCTGCCATTGGGAGTCAGGATTTCACATAGAAATTTTCAGGGACAATTCAGTCCATAGCAGTGAGGAACAGCCTTATTACTCATCCTATTCTCCCACAGCACCTAGCACAGAATCCTGCATAACAGGAAATCTAGATTTTGTTAAATGAGTGATAGAAGACCTGATTGGAGCTGAAAGGATTATAAAGTCACTTACAACTATTGTCATAGCACATTTGTCCTAATAATTTTCAGGTTATTGAAAATAATCATGCTTTGCTCAGGGTTTCCAGGTCCCAAGGGCAGCAGCTGAGAGTTAAAAGGGAAGGGCCCAGGTGCAGGAACCAAGAGCTGTAAAGCTGCCACAGTTCCTAGAGAGGGCACAGGGCAGGGCTCCCCACTAGTCAGCAGAGGGGGTGGGTGATGGCTGGGAACCCCCCCCCCCAAACTACTGCAACCCCTCTTCCCACCCTCCCTACCTTCTGGAGACCACTGTGGCCCCAGGACACGTGACAATGGATCCTGAAATTATTTGTTGACCATGGCAGCATGATCTAGGACCCAGATACCAAAACTGCCACTTTGAGTGGCTGGATTAAAGCCTCTGTCTTGGCCCTCCTGGCCTGGAACCTGTTGGTGAGCAAATGGCTTATCACACTTGGCTCTCCATACTAATCACTTTCAACTGCCCCAGGCACACCTGATAGGCTACGTGGCTGCAGGGAGGGGCAGGCACAGCCCAGGAATCCCTAAGGATCCTCAGAGCCTTTAGTTTCTAGCACTTTTGTCTTTAGTCTACTTCTGTGATAGTTCTTCTCCCCAGTGTACTGCCTGTGATTCAGTCTTTCATCTGGCCAAATTCCTGCTGATTTCCAAGCCGGCTTTCATCCTATGACTGAGAGTTACTATCAGCGAACCAACCTGCCATTTTCTCCTCTATCCGGGAGGCACATTTATGGCTTCCACTTGGCAGTTGGGGGAAAGAAGTCCTTGGATGGAGTAATTATCAGTCTAGTAGTGGTGGACTTCACTGCTGTGATATGTGCCCCTCTCTAGGACCATCTTCTGGGAAAGGTTGGGGAGGTTAACATTACTCTGAGCTTTAAATACTCCACTACACACACGTCCACAATCCCTGATCTAAAGTCTTTGTACTATATGTCTTACAAAAATCAGAATTTCTCAGTTTTCAGAAAGATAAGGTATATTACATAATATCACATAGGGGTTTGGGCCAGTACTCCATAATTCAACAATATTTCTGGAACACAATGTGCAATTATGCATGCCAATCAGGATAAAGACTATAAAAAATCTGTTTCACCAACAGAGGAGTTCAGGTCAGCTGAGGTTTGGTGACCTAATGGGATATGAGAAAACATTTTTGCTTTCAGAGCTTTCTGGATTTTGGAATTGAAAAAAGGAATAGTGGACATTTATATATATTGGCCTTGAACATTACGTATATGAACACAAAAGCAAGGCCAGGATCATCGTATTTACCTAATTCTCTAGGATTACATCTCTATAGATACCCTTCTGAGCTAAGTCTTCCCACTTCTCTCTGGTGAAATACACAAGCACTTCCTCAAATGTCAATGTGAAAGTTGGTCACATGAATTGGCTCACTCTTGTCATATCCAACTAAAATAGAATCGAGAAGCCAGAGAAGAAAGCACTAATATTGCTCCAAAAATGTAATTTTCTGCAAGTCCCAACTTGCATCGACTCAGGACACAATTACGTTTGAGGATCTGGCCTTCATATGGGAGGCGACACCATTCAGAGACACATGTAAAAAAAATGCTGCTGAGAACACGGTCCTGCCTGCTTTGCTGGAAAAGAACATTCCCTACGTGACCTAAAATCTACTTTTTGGCATTCTTTGTTTGCAGTTGTGAGTTCTGATTAAGGCCACTTCTACCCCCTCTTCTTCTATAGAGGGGCTTATTTTTTTATATAATAAAACATAAAAAAGTTATTTTCGTATTTGCTCTCCTGGATATTTGTAACATTTCTTGATCTGCTTCCCTTTGCCACCTAAAGTATGCTTGACTTCGAGCTGACTAGCCAGTTTGAATCAAAAAGTTCCTTTTGCTTACCCATGAACAGGCTTCTCATTTCCCATTTGTACCTGCTGTAGTCACCCAGCTAGAACAAGAAGAGCTAAGGTCCTGGATCTGCAGGGGATTGAGGACAATGGGGTTGTCCAGGTGATTGAGTGAGACCCAGTGACATGGAAATTGTAAGGACCATCATAACTTACCTACTGCATGAGAAATAGACATTAGTACTATATATTTAGCTAGACAGACTCTTTCCATAATCATCTTAGTTTGCTAGGGCTGCCATAATAATGTGCCACAGACTGGGTGGCTTAAAAAACATAAATTAATTTTCTCACAGTTCTGGAGACTGGAAGGCCAAGATCAAGGTGTTGGCAGGATTGGTTCCTTCTGAGGTCTCTCTCCATGGCTTGTAGATAGATGGTCATCTTCTCCCTTTCTCTTCACATGGTTGTCCCTCTGTAGAGGTAGGTCTATATCCAGTTTCCCTCTTTTAGAAAATTCACACCATTTATATTGGGGGAAAGCCCACACTAATGACCTCACTTTAATGTAATTACCTCTCTAATGACCTTATCTACAAATACAGTCACATTCTGAGGTAATGGGGGTTAGAACTTCAACATTTGAATAATTTAGCTCATACCAGACAGGAACTGCTGAAAGACCAAGTTTAGTTATTCATTCAATAATTCATTCAGTTCTTCACTGAAATGCTTTTGGTCATTTCGAAGAAAATATAAAGAGATATTGTTCTGACCTCAGATTAATAAAAAAATACATCTTTTGAGACAGGGTCTCACTGTCACCCAGGCTGGAGTGCAGTGGCATCATCCCAGCTCACTGCAATCTCCAACTCCCAGGCTCAAGCGATCCTCCTCTCCTGGCTCAGCCTCCCGAGTAGCTAGGACTACTGCCATGGGCCACTACACCTGGCTAATTTTTTTAAATTTTTTTTTTTTGGCATATTATGGGGGTACAGATTTTAAGGTTTCAATAAATGCCCATTTCCCCCCCAAATTTTTTTAAATTTTTTGTAGTGATGGGGTTTCTCTATGTTGCTCAGGCTTGTCTTCAACTCCTGGCTTCAAGCAGTCCTCCCACCTGAGCCTCCCGGAGTGCTCAGACACCACACCCAGCCAGATTAATGAAAAATTTCTTTTATATATATATATATATATATATATATATTTTTTTTTTTTTTTTTTTTTTTTTTTGAGACAGAGTCTCACTCTGTTGCCCTGGCTAGAGTGCCATGGCGTCAGCCTAGCTCACAGCAACCTCAAACTCCTGGGCTCAAGCTATCCTTCTGCCTCAGCCTCCCGAGTAGCTGGGACTACAGGCATGTGCCACTATGCCCTGCTAATTTTTTCTATATATTTTTAGTTGGCCAATTAATTTCTTTCTATTTTTAGTAGAGACGGGGTCTCACTCTTGTTCAGGCTGGTTTCGAACTCCTGACCTTGAGCTATCTGCCCACCTCAGGTTAGCTTAAAGATAACAGTTTTAACAGACTCCAAAAGGTATGTGTAAGGCTGGTGGTGGGCCCCCTCCCTTTCCTAGATCAAAAAAGAAAAGGCTGATGAGACCAGACCTGCCAAGGATGACTGCTCTGCTGAAAACTACCACAACCAGATAAGAAAGTTTTAGCTCCTGGATTCTGCAAATACTGTCAGCCCCTCCTATTTCTCAATGACCACCAAAGGTCACCCCAGCTCTTCCCACCAAGTCTCTAGCTCGGCCCAAACGGCATAAAAGGCCTCACCCCCTTCAAACGGAGGTAACTTCTGGGGCCCCCCTCTCTTGGGGCCCCAGAACCTTGTCCAGGAGCACCAAATAAAGCCATGTTGTTTGGCCCCACTCTTTCTCTCTGTCTGTTTCTTTCGCTGCCGCCAAAAAACCTTACAGTATGGTTGCTCAAACAGAATACAAATTTAGTTTTTACCCATTTAACAGTTTGAGGCAAATGCCCATGACTGGCAGTGGCTCTCCTCCAAAGAGGACATCTGATGGCACCTCTGCCATCTTCAATACATGGTTTCCAAGATCTCCCGCGGATTTCTGGTCTCCACTGGAAAAAGAGCTTGGAGATGTGAGATAGTTATCAAAGGCCAAACCAGGAAGTGGCGTACATTGTTTCCATTCCTGTTCCATTGGTTGGAACTCAGGCACCCAGCCATGTTTAACAACAATACTTGCTATGAAATGGATCACACTGTCTGCCTAGGAAGGAAAAAAAAAAAAACTTTTGATAAACTCATAGCAAACCACAAGACTCAAAAAACATTCCCTAGAAAAGGTCAATAAATTCAACTACATTAAAATTAGAAAAAGACAGACAAATTGGGAAGCATAGCCCATTAAAACAGAAAGATGCTCAGTTACGTTAGTAAAAACAGAAATGCAAATTAAGCCATAATTAGATACTATTTCACATCTTACAGATTAACAAATCTTTAAAAACGTGTCTACTACAAGTACTGACAAAGATATAGAGTGGTGGGAATTCTAATCTATTGCTGTTGGGAGTGTAAACTGTTTCATTTATGGACAACAGTTTGGCATTACTTCTTCTTCTTCTCTTTTTTTTGTTTTTTTTTTCAAGACAGAGTCTCAATTTATTGCCCCGGCTAGAGTGCCATGGCGTCAGCCTAGGTCACAGCAACCTCAAACTCCTGGGCTCAAGCAATCCTCTTGCCTCAGCCTCCCGAGTAGCTGGGACTACATGCATGCATCACCATGCCTGGCTAATTTTTTCTATATACTTTTAGTTGGCCAACTAATTATTTCTATTTTTAGTAGACATGGGGTCTCACTCTTGCTCAGGCTGGTTTCGAACTCCTGACCTTGAGCGATCCTCCCACCTCCGCCTCCCAGAGTGCTAGGATTACAGGCGTGAGCCACTGTGCCCAGCCTGGCATTACTTCTTAAAGTTGAAAATGTATATATCTTACGTTCTATTATGAAAATTAGTTATCTTATTTCTAGGTCCTTTCACAAGGAACTAGGAGACATGTTTTCATAGTAACCCCAAACTGGATACCACCTAAAAGCCCATTGACAAATGAATAAATGCATGAATTGTGCTATACGCCCACAATGGAATACTCAGTATCTTGGAGTCATGACTGAATCACACTTACACAGAAATAGGGATGAATCTCAAAAACACATGTTCAGGGCAAGAACAGAGTATGATGCCACACAGGTAACATTCCACAAAAGGCAAAACTAAGTAATATATTGTCCAGGCATAAATAGGTAGGTGGTATGCTGCCAAATTGGATTTCCCTAAACCAAATAACTTGACACTTCAGACTGAGGAAGAAATAGGCCAGTGAGAGAGAAGCTTGGCTCAAAACCACCATGGAGACTGGGGAACTATGAAAAGCAGATCCAAGGCTGAGTCCACAGAAAACTGGCTCAAGCTGGTCCATCTGCTCTCTTTAGATTCACAAACCTTCAGCTCTCCAAGCAGAGAGGGGCATAGCAAATCAGGCTCCAGGAATAAATGATCTGTGGGGGAGGTGCTGCAACACTTGTAGAAGAAACACAGAAGCGGGGACAGCTAATGAGGCAACTACCACAGCAAGTGAGTGTAATTCCACGAGGAAACTCTGGAAACAGTATAAAACTCATGCTGCAGAGATGCTCTGCACACATGGGGAGGGAGAATCAGAATCTATCAAATTCCAATCACTGACTGGTTGAGGGCTGCCCCCAGGATGTGTTATTACCCCACAGGCCAAGAGGTGCAGATGCCGCAAGTCAGATGAAGCCCACAGGAAGGGGTAAGGCCGCAGGGACACAGGCAGGGCACCCACAGATTATGCTACAAACACTGACTTGGACTCTTACTAGAATCTACTAGCACATTAATTTTACTTCATAGATAATTTTAGCAATTCTTCCTCCTAACCACTTACTAGCGAGTAGCGCTTAGTTTGTTTTTCTTAAGTCTATGCATTAGGCAGGTCATTTTTCTATGAAACCCAGAAAAGGCATTCTTAAATTGTTCACAATGCATGAAACGGTCCCCAGCCTGGAGGACTACAAGGTAAAGCTTCTAAGCCTCCTTCTGCCTTAATTAGACTGGAGAGAACAAGGGTATGGAGGGTTCCAGAGACAGCAGACACAACAGCTTATTAACATTTTCTATTAAGTGATTCTTGACCCCAGCAGAACTTTGGCTACAAAAATAGGGTCCCCAAAGAAAAGCCATTTCAGTTCTGTTTATTGCATTTCATGAAACAATCAAGTTATACATACTTGCAGTACATGGTAAGTCCTAGTCTTTAAATGGTGTCAGTTCCAGTTAATATCATGTAGACATCTGTCCTTTGTGAGTACCCTGATGCTTAATAAAGCTTGTGTGCCACTTGAAAGATTTTCCACATATGTCACATCTAAAGGGTCTGCTTCCAGTATGAATAACCTGGTGTCGAAAAAGATTCCTCTTAAAACTAAAAGTTTTTCCACATTCTCCACATTGAAAGAATTCCTCCTTTGTGTGGGTTCTTTGATGCTGAATGAGATCCACATTCCGGCCAAAGGACTGTCCACATTCAGCGCACTTGTGTGTGTTCGGTTTACTGTGAATTTGTTGATGGCACAGAAGCGTTGAATGCCGACCAAAGGCTTTTCCACACTCAAGGCATTCATAGGGTTTTTCTCCACTATGGATTAACTGATGTCGAATAAGGGTTGAATTCTGACTGAATGTTTTTTCACATTCACTACATTTGTAGGGTTTTTCTTTGGTGTGAATCCTCCTATGTTCAACAAGATATGCAAGCTGGCGGAAACACTTTCCACAGTCGGGGCATTTATATGGCTTGCTTTGCAGGTGACACTGTTTATGGACAATAAGAGCCGATCGCTGTTTGAAGGCTTGCCCACATACATTACACTCAAAGGGATTCTCTAAAAAGTGAATTCTTTGATGTTGATCAAACCATGCCTTACGCCTAATGACTTTTCCACATTCACTGCATTCATAAGATTTTGCTCTTGTAAAAATTTGCTCGTGCCTCAAAAGCAAAGATCTTTGATTGAAAGGTTTCCCATCCTCATCATATCTGCCCTGCTTCCACCCTACTTTAACATTCTGATCTTGAAGAAGGTTTAGGTTTTGAAGGAAGCCCTTGTTGTAGTCAACACCATCAGTAGGAAGGGCAAGCCTGCAACTGTCCACAACTTCCTTACATTTGTACAACTTTTCTGAGAGTTTCTTGGCTGTTTCCTGCATCATCACTGACATCCTATATGATTCTAAATCTTCAGAAACTTTCTGCTTTGGAGTTAGCATTGTCATCTCGTACCTGGCTTCAGAACCTAACCAAATAACAAGAAAAGATGTAAATGACCTGTTAACTGCAGAGGAAAAAAGGAAAAGCAGCCTACCATTAGGATATAAGACAATCAAGTGAAGCTAAGAAACGCTCACTTGTTTACATCATCAGACTCAAGAGGCCCCAATTCTCAATTTCAGAGGATTCTCCACTGTCATGATAAAAATGGCTCTTGAGGCCAGGCACGGTGGCTCACGCCTGTAACCCTAGCACTCTGGGAGGCCAAGGCGGGCGGATTGCTCGAGATCAGGAGTTTGAAAGCAGCCTGAGCAAGAGCAACACCCCGTCTCTACTATAAATAGAAAGAAATTAATTGGCCAAATAATATATAGAGAGAGAGAAAAAAAAAATTAGCCGGGCACGGTGGCACATGCCTGTAGTCCCAGCTACTCAGGAGGCTGAGGCAGGAGGATTGCTTGAACCCAGGAGTTTGAGGTTGCTGTGAGCTAGGCTGACGCCACGGCACTCACTCTAGCCTGGGCAACAAAGCGAGACTTTATCTCCAAAAAAAAAATGATAATAAAAAATAAAAATAAATAAAAAATAAAAAGAGCTCTTGCCATCAACAAACCCACAGAAAATGAACAAGAGTATGTGACACAGAAAGTGAGAGAACAACAACAAAAAAAAGTGAGAGAACAAACCTATCACTATTATTGGAAAAACAACTTACTCTAGGTACTCAGAAGGGTCACATAAATGTTGGAGAGGTAGCATCTTATGCTCTGAGATACATGTTTTTAATATTTCTGGGTGAAACAAGGCCTTAAAAATGGAGAAAGTATAGGATAGAACAGAAAAAGAACAGAAGGAAGTAAAGCCAAAGCCAACTGACTAGAACAATGGGTCTGAACCAGGCATGCTTTTGCCCTCTGGGCTTTTGACAATATCTGGAGACATGTTACATTGTCACAACTTGGGGGTTTCTACTGGTATCTAGTGGGTGAAGGCCAGGGATGCTGCTAAACATCTCACAATGCAAAGGACAGATTTTCCCCCATCCCCAGGAATCAATCAGCCCACAATGTCACTAGTGTCCAGGTTGAGAAAACTTGGAGGAAAGGGATGTGAAAAACAGTTGAAGCAGGCCGGGCGTGGTGGCTCACACCTGTAATCTTAGCACTGTGGGAGGCCGAGGCGGGCAGATTGCTTGACGTCAGGAGTTCGAAACCAACCTGAGCAAGAGCGAGACCCCGTCTCTACTATAAATAGAAAGAAATTAATTGGCCAACTAATATATAGAGAAAAAAATTAGCCGGGCATGGTGGTGCATGCCTGTAGTCCCAGCCACTCGGGAGGCTGAGGCAGCAGGATTGCTTAAGCCTAGGAGTTTGAGGTTGCTGTGAGCTAGGCTGATGCCACGGCACTCACTCTAGCCTGGGCAACAAAGCGAGCCTCTGTCTCAAAAAAAAAAAACAAAAACAAAAAACAGTTGAAGGAGCATCAAGACGTAGTAAGTAGAAAAATGTAGCTACATCAAGAAATACTGAAGGAAAATGAAAAGCAAAATGAAGCAAGGCAAGGAAGAGATAGCAGAGAGAAAGGATAAGTAAAGAGGGTAGAACAAAAGAGCATCTGGGTGGCCTGAGAGCTGTCACTTGGAAAACACCAGAGCAGCTGCCTCAGAAGCACCTTACCCTGAAGGAGAGAGAGGATGAGCTTTGCAGACCTGAAGTCCAATCCCACTGTCCACTCCTAACTGTGTGAGAAATGTCTTTGTCTTTTAGTTGCTTCATCTGAGAAATGGGGATGCTGATCTTCCTCCCACCCTCACAGGGCAGCAGAGATGAAGAAGTGGGTTCACACATGCCCAACCCCTGGCTTAGTATCTGGCCCACAGGAGGACTTCATCAACATGACTGCCCTTCCTCTTCCTGACTCTACCTGCCTAAGTCTCTTCCTCACCCACCTGGGTAGGCACTAATGGATGCCTTCCTATTCAGAGCTCTCGGAAGATCCAGGATCCAGGGCTCGTCCCACTGCTCCAGCTGACAGATCACCTCAGGTTTGGGAAACTGAAATCCTACTCAGGCGGAAGTAAATGGGATGTGGCTGTTAGTGAGTTACAGGAAGATGTCCCAGGGCTCAGGGGCAAGCAGGGATAAGGACAATAATCAAAAGGACAGGTAAGAACAGAAATCTACAAAGTCTTTGCAGTTATTTGGCAATCTTTATTGTTCATACCCTTGGATATGGTCATTTCATGCTTAGAAATATAGCCTAAGGAACAACTGGGACAAAGATGAACACACCAGAGATGTTCAGCAGTGTCCTAACAGTGTAAAACTGGAAGTAAACACAATGTCAATAGGGTATGATTAAATCAAGTGTGGCACATTAATGCAATGAAGGCTTAAATATTAGGTAAATAATAAAAATCATTGTGTTCAAATATTTATTAAAATAGGAAAATGCTCCCTTGTATATTTTAAAGCAGACTACAAAACTCATGAATAGCAGGATTGAATTTTTTTCAAAAATTATGTGTGTATATAAGTATGTGTGTATAAATTAGTAAATACAGTTTGAGCATTCCTAATCCAAAACTCTGAAATCTGCGATGCTCCAAAAACTGAAAGCTTTTGAGCCCTAACAGGATGCCACATTTGGAAAGTTCCACATGTGACCTCATATGATCATATGCAGTCAAAATGCAGTTGCACAACACACAGTTGATTCAGCATCCCCAAGGGAAAAATAAAGTTACTTTCATGCTAAGTTTTTTTTTTTTTTTTTTTTTTTGACAGAGTCTCACTTAATTGCCTAGGCTAGAGTGAGTGCCGTGGCGTCAGCCTAGCTCACAGCAACCTCAAACTCCTGGACTCAAGCGATCCTCCTGCCTCAGCCTCCCAAGTAGCTGGGATTACAGGCATGCGCCACCATGCCCGGCTGATTTTTATATTATATATATTAGTTGGCCAATTAATTTCTTTCTATTTTTATGGTAGAGACGGGGTCTCTCTCAGGCTGGTTTTGAACTCCTGACCTTGAGCAATCCGCCCGCCTCGGCCTCCCAGAGTGCTGGGATTACAGGCGTGAGCCACCACGCCCGGCCTCATGCTAAGTTTTTAAAGGTATATATGAAACATAAACAAATTTGTTGTTTAGACTTGGGTCAGATCTTCAAGTTAGCTCATTACATATATACATATATTCCCAAATCCCAAATCCAAAATCAAAACACTCTGGTCCCAAGCATTTTGGATAAGGGATGCTCAATCTATAAGTAAGTAGACGCAGAGGTGATTAGGAAAAAGTAAACCAAAATGTAAACAGGAGTTATTTCTGGGCAGTGGGCCTCTGGGTGACTTTTATTATCTATTCACTGATGTATTTTCTAAAATTTCTATAATGAGCATTACTACTTTTAGCACTAGTAATATTTCTAAAGGAGTGCAGTGATATAGTAAAAGAAGCACTCTCAAATGCTATTATTTGATATACAAAATAGCACAAATTTTGTTAAAAATATCACTTAATAATCCATAAAGATTAAACTGCCATGCCCTTTAAATCCAAAATTCCAGTTTTGGGAATACATTTTGGGAAATAATCAGAAATTCATATATAATTATAGTCAGAAATATCCACTGGAACATTGTAACATAGCAAATGATAAACAAACAAACCAACAAACAAAAACGAAGCCAAGCTCAATGTCCCCCAATGGGAAAACAATGAAATAATATTATGGATCATACAATGAAATTATATTATGATCATTTACTTTATCTGTGGGAAAATGCTGATGCAATAATGTTAAGTTTAAAGCAAATAACAGAATTGCACATACACTATGCTCAGCTACTTTTGTAAAAGCATAAGGGGAAAAAAAGACTGGAAGGAAATATCCAAAATATTAACAGTGGTACCCCTGAACATTTTGCCCTTCCATTCATAGTTTTCCATACCTTCCATGTATTTGAGAATGCTCTTATAATACTTTTAATTTATTGTTTCATGTCCTGAGGACACTAGAGCATTTTGTAATGCTTATAAACGGAAAATTAACATTGAAAAAAATCCAGAAGTGAGTGGACGATCATATAACAGACGGTCAAGACTCTGCCAAGAGTGTCAGTATGGAGATCAAACATGGAGCCCCAGAAGAAATCTATTAATACTTAATGAAGCAACTCCCACAGTGGGAAACTATGCAGAAAGTAAGACAAAGGAAGCTCCTGGAAAGATGGAAATTATGAAGGTTCAGAAATGAAGTCAGTTTAAAATCATTTTCTGGGCACTTGCTAGTCTTGCAAACAGGAAGTTACCCATTTCCAGAGAAAAGAAAGAAAAAGACTTTCAAGAGCATGAGAAGTGAGCCTTTGGAACCTAAATGGCCCATAATCTTTTCAACTCCTAGAGGTCTTGAAGATGTGGAAGATGGAGTGGAAGTGGAAAACAGAGTAAGTGCCTCTGACCCCTAACACAAAACATTATTCAGTGTCCCTAATCCCTTATCTGAAACCCCTTGGGGCCAGATGTGTTTCAGGTTTCAGAATTTTTCCAGACTTCAGAAAGGTGACTTGGTGTATATTTTATAGAATGTACTATCCCCTATAGGGTTTGGAGCTGAGCCCATAATCGCACACACCGTATTTCAGAGGCTAGGTACATACATACACACACTAAGGTGGAAAAATAAGGACAATAAATTGTTTCCTATGGGATGAAATCAGGTTTCATTGGCAGGTGACTTCACATCAGGGTTTGTAGCCAAGTGAGTTATGAAAAAGCTCCTGGCTTTCACAGCTTTTTTGATTCTGGAAATGCAGATGAGGGACTGAGGACTTGTGCAAACACTCAGAACACACAGACATAGCCCTATCTTCAAGCCGAGTCATTACCCAACAAGATCATGTTCCTGTAGTTCTCCAGCATCACATCTCTGTAGAGGTCCTTTTGAGCCCAGTCAAGGTGGCCCCACTCCTCTCTGGTGAAGTACATCGCCACATCCTCAAATGATAGCAACTCCTGAAAAAGTGGCTGATAATTGTAACTGCAATTCTCACAATAACTTGTGAATGATGATTATTATTCTACACGTGAGGAAACTGAGGTTTGGGCAGGTACAGTGGTCTGGCCAAGGTCACTCAATTCATAAGAATGGATGCAAGGCTCCACTCCGGCCTGCTGGCCCTCAGGCCAGACATGTGTTTTCCATTCCACAGGTTCAACAGACTTGTCCTCCACAAGGCCAGATGGTAAAGATTTTTCAGGCCATTTGGTCTCTGGTGCAACTCCTCAAGTCTGTTGTTATAGCACAAAAGCAGCCATACCCATTAGGTAAGTGAATGGGCATGGCTGTGTTCCAATAAAACTTCACCAACAGGTTCAGGACAGCTTGCTGACCCCTGTTCTATACAATACCACACATAATCTATTTCTTCTGCCCCAGGTTCCCTTAGGAAACAGATAAGGCCACTATGGACAGATTATTATGCTAGCTATTTACAAGGGGATGGGCAGGCTCCACGGATGTCAACAAGGAATGTAGAGGCAGCAGGTGCTGGCTGTCCTCAGGAAGCATCATCCACCAGGTGTGCAGGGGTGGGAGAGGAGTGGGGGGTTGGAATCCAGAAAGCTGTTGGAGCAGGAGCAGGACTAGAGCTAGGGGTTTAGAGGATGCAGCCACCCCCATCCTACTGCCTGGCAGGGAAGGAGCTGTGGGAACAGACACCCAACCTCCACTTCCTCCAGGCCCCTGGCCCCCTGGCCCCTGTCCTCTGATCCCTCCATCCCATTGCCAAGGACCAACCAGAAGCCAGAAGTCAAGGGAGCCCCTCAATGGTGAATATAAATGACACAGACCAAAGTGCAGGAGAGTGGAGGGCACATGCAGAGTGGGTAAACAGACGTCTCAGCACAGTGTATGAGATAGGAGTTTACATCTGCAGTTAACCGTGTGTTCCACTCCTGTAGGCTTAGGCTAGAAGGTGCCTCACCCTCACTCCCAGGACACTGCAGCCCCTGGAGCACAGAGGCCTGAGGGCTGTCCACCACACTGCCTATTCTCACAAGACCCTGTGTGGGTTCCAAGAGGACATGTACAGGGAAAGGGCAAACATTCTCTATGAATAAGTGATCAGGAATGGAAATGTCCACCCCTGTCCTGAGAAGCTTCACTTAGCTCCCCTCTGCAGACAGACACCCAAATTTCTCAACCTATACGGCCTTTCTTTTCCTCCATCAAACCTGAGTTTTGCAGCCTTGGTTTCAGTCCCTTTCTCAACACCATCCTGAATGTCCCTCCTTTGCCAGAGCTGTCCTGCAGTGTCCTCCAGCTGCCCTAATCAACCATCTGCATTCCCTGCACCTATATCAAGGCTAACAAGTGTTGGGGAATCAAATGGCTTCATCTGCCAAAGAGTTATCTCTATACATTTGTAGCTGAGCCCTGCATGTTCCTCAAAAATTCTTTCTCTAGGCCGGGCGCTGTGGCTCACGCCTGTAATCCTAGCTCTTGGGAGGCCGAGGCGGGCGGATTGCTCAAGGTCAGGAGTTCAAAGAGGGAGACCCCGTCTCTACTATAAATAGAAAGAAATTAATTGGCCAACTGATATATATATATAAAAAAAATTAGCCGGGCATGGTGGCGCATGCCTGTAGTCCCAGCTACCCGGGAGGCTGAGGCAGAAGGATCACTCCAGCCCAGGAGTTTGAGGTTGCTGTGAGCTAGGCTGACGCCATGGCACTCACTCTAGCCTGGGCAACAAAGTGAGACTCTGTCTCAAAAAAAAAAAAAAAATTCTTTCTCTTACGGTCCTTGCAATGGTATTCTACTTTTATCATTCTCTTTCCTTCAATAAATATTTACTGAGCATCATAAGTTGCTAGCCTTCATGCTATATGCCAGTCATAAAATGAACAAAAGCTACAGCTCCTGCTGAGGCCATAGAATACTGCTACTCAGGTTGTACACTGCTCAATTCTAGAGGACCTCACTCCCATCAAAGCTCTATGAATGGGGCCCCCAGAGTCTCAGGGGGCATACACTCTTCAACTCCTCTCCCCTCCTACCACACTCCCCTAGACAATACACAAATTTTTACCCATCCTTTCTGTCTCCTCCTTTAGAGGAAGAAGGTCCATTTCTCCTAGAAATTGCTCTTCCTCTGCCTCTGACTCCATTCTATCCATCTCAACCAGGATCTAACTCCAACTATGATGACTCTTCCTTGTCTGTGTCTTTACCCTCGTTCCCCTGTCCACTGGCTCCTTCTCCTTAGCCAGGAAAAATGCCAAAATCTCTCCTATCTTTATAACAATGTCCCTCCTCCTTACTTCCCCTGTGTTCTCACCCTCTCTCCTTCCCTTATGGACCCACCTCTGGAAAGAACACCACATGCTCACCTCCCAACCACTCTATATCCCACCATCCAGCTTACGCCTCCACCTCTCCTCGGAAGCTGTTCTTCGAAGCCCCCCAGAGACCACCTACTCAGGAACACAGGGAAGAGGATGGCAGAGAAGACTGCACAGAAGAGATGATTTGTGAGTTGAGTCTTACAACATGAGTGGGAGAGTTTGCCTGTGGGCAGAGAGTACAGGATGGACAGGAGGGTGGAATGGAAGATCACTGGCTGCTCCCGCCAGCAGACCCTCTGGCTGTCAGGGAAAGGCAGGTGGAGCTTCACACTTCCCAAGAGCACGTGGCCTCCCGGGAGCAGGACTGTCAAGCTGCTGCAGCCCAAGCCCAGCTTGGGCTGTCTCTCACAACAGCTGCCGCAACAGCTTCCTAACCTGTTTCCTTCCTGTCAAACTCAGCCTCTTCTAATCACCCTCCTTAATGCTACACATTCAATAACTGACCTTGCATTGTCCCCTGTATTGTAAGAAGTTCTTACATATCTCCCTCCCCAATCAGACTGTAATCTCCTTCAGGTAAGAGTTCATCTCCCAGCGCCCAAGACAGTACCTGGAGAACACAGTGACAGGCACACAGTAACACTCACTGACGAAATGAGCAGCTGTGGCAGTAATAGCTCTGACTTACAGCGTGCTGAAATGCAACTAGACTCTATGGAAATGTGCATGCTGCATTTCATTGCATCCTCACAACTCCTGGTGTCAGGCACTCTCATGATCCCATTTTATAGACAAGGTAATGGCAGCCGGAGTGCTTATGTAACCCACTCAAGGGAACACGTCGAAACCAGAGCCTGGATTTGAACCTACCTGACTCCAGAGTTTAAGCTCTTTACATCCCATGTTCTAAGAAGGAAAATTCCCCCAACTGATAAAGGTGGCTCAACCTAAGCAAAGGAGTCGTTCAGCAGCAGTGAGTATACTGAGGAAGCAGAGGAGGAACCACAGCTCACCTTCCACCTGGCTGCCGGGAACACAGCTTCCATGGCCTGGTCTTTGACAAGGGGTAGGATCCAGGCCGCTGGGCTGGGCTAGAGGAAGAAAAAGATAACCAGTAAGGCCAGCCCTCACTAAAGCCCTCTCGCTAGGCAGACTGGGGACCAGGAGTTCCAGTAGGACCCACAGACAAAACTTACTTAATATAAAGTCACTCTGTTTGGTGTTGGAACATGTGATAAAATGAATGAGCCACTACTATAATCTTCTAGGAATTTCTAAAGCTAGATCAATTTCTAAAGCTTTAACCTAGGGAACCTATGGCCCTGCCCTCCCCTCCCCTTCCTCCCCAGAGCATGTCCTGCAGCACCTCACTGAGAGACCACATACCCAAAGGGACAACAGCAGACCACATATAAAAAATAGAACTCTGATCTACAACCTGCAACAACCAGCTCCGGAAGCCAAACCACAGCATCTCAGCCATGGGCCTCAAATCAGGACTTGGTCAGTAACTGGCAGCTTCACCCAGATTTTTGCCCTCCAGCCCCCTTCCATTTAGAACCAACAGGAGAAAGTCAAATATGCTCCCCTATCAATCACAAAGGATACCCCACTTCTGGTTAACCTAGGTGATTCAGTCAGCCAGCTTCCTCAAGCCAAAAACCTCCAAAGAGGACACACTGGGCCTTCCCTTTTTTCACTATAAAGCTATCCTCTGCCTGCCTTTGAATATCTGCCAAGCACAGTGACGATGGCCAACTCCCTTGATATAGGGAGCTCTGAATAAAGAGCCTTTGCTTCTTCTTGTTTGGTGCTCTTCATTTATTGCCACATCTCACGATCAATTTTCCAATCATTAGTGGAAATTTCAGGCTACATATGTACAAAGAAGTAATTACAAATTCAATTTGGTTATTCTCAGGGATGTCAGAAACAGGACCTTGATGACTATAGAAAGGAATAGGCAATTCCTGGAAGTGGTGTGCAGTCCTCCACTCTCTGGAGCCCTTGTGAGCCTTCCACCTCCACGGCTCACCTTCTTTGCCCCATGAGACTGAGGCCCAACCTCCCTCTTTGTGATAAAGGTTTTTCCATATTATTCGAGATCTTGTTTGGATAAGGGCTGCCTTAACAAAAGACCATACATTCTCCAGGGATGATAAAAGACTTCTTGTCTTTTCTGGTAAGTCCTTTCTGGTATAAAGACAAGAGCCTTTCTGGATTAAGTACTCTTGATTTCAATGGAATTGATTATACATTCTGTCTGTAAGACATGTCTTCTGGTGAATTTACTTTCAGTCTAGTGTGTGTGCCTAGTTTAACATTTTGTTTGATCTGCATGTGTAGGTTAAAGTTTTTCTGTACACTCTTATCTTGTTTTCTTTCAGTTTGGTTTGACTCTTTTCCCTTGCTTGTTTCTGAAAATCTTCCAAAAGCAAAAATAAACAGTCTGGGTGGTGAGTGCAAGATGACTAATTAAAAGCCACTAGGACAGTTGTCACCCTCTAAAACACTGGTCTAAACGCCTGACATTCCCTGACAGATATACAGGATTTTCTTTGGTCTGGAGAGATTAAGAAGAAATGGATGTATGCTGAAAGATCAGACAGTGTGGAAAAAAAAAAAAAGAAGAAGAAGAAATGGAATGGGATTCTCTAATATTAAAATCTGCTAGATTCTCTGGGACTCCAACCAGCTACATATTATGGCCCATTCTTGTATGCATTTTTAAACTGATGGGTAAATTACACCAAGGAAAATTCAGATCTCAAATGGTCATTTTTTTTTTTTTTTTTGAGACAGAGGATCGCTTTGTTGCCCAGGCTAGAGTGGCATCAGCCTAGCTCACAGCAACCTCAAACTCCTGGGCTCAAGCAATCCTGCTGCCTCAGCCTCCTGAGTGGCTGGGACTACAGGCATGTGCCACCATGCCTGGCTGATTTTTTCTATATATATTAGTTGGCCAATTAATTTCTTTCTATTTATAGTAGAGACGGGGTCTTGCTCTTGCTCAGGCTGGTTTCAAACTCCTGACCTCAAGCGATCTGCCCGCCTCAGCCAAATGGTCATTTTTTAAAAACCTGCAATATAGTGTTAACAGTTATTGTTTTTTCCTCTGCCTACTTTGAATCTGCTGACTACTGGTGGTGTGATAAAACTCACTACTTACGGCATTCCAGCCAAGATTTTAAAAAAAGAAGTCTTAACCACTTGGGGTTTTCAAATTAATGCCTTTACATATTACAATAGCTCTGACCAACAACCTAGACACCTTTTAGAAATACAAATTTAGGTCTGCCCCACTAACAATTGTGTATGATACAATGCTTAATTGAAAACAAATTAATAACCTCTCCCAAAAAGTGCTGCCAATATTATTCCCCACCCACATTTGCTAATCAAGCAAACCAGACCAGCAAATAAAAGACAGATCTGTTATTAAGTTAAGGCTACTTGGAAATTCTATTTTTCTTGTACAATTCAGCCAATCCTCACTAACTTGTAAACATGAAAAATTTAACCCACTGCTGGGCGCAGTGGCTCATACCTGAAATTCTAGCACTCTGGGAGGCCCAGGCAGGAGGATCACTTGAGCTTAGGAGTTCAAGACCAGCCTGAACAAGAGTGAGATCCTGTCACTATCTATAAAATTTAAAAAAAAAAAAAATTAACCCTAAATTCATTTGAAACTGAACAAAAAGTGGGGAAAGGGTAAAAGAGATTTTTAAAAAATCAACTGTCATAGAAACTGCTTTACCCAAAATTTAGGTCCAGAACCTTCATTAGATTACCTATCAGGGCAAATAAAGTTCAGCCACGTAAACATGTCCCAACTTTGTCAGAAATATAATTTGGATCCGACTGTCTTTCATAAACTGATGAGTTTGTAAAACTTTAACATAACTTTAAGATTGTGAAAGATTACATGAAAAGATCATTTATAAGCATTTGTCTCATTCACATTTACATATACATAATTTTTAACAGTTTACCTATATTATTTATGAGAACTGCAATACTAGACAAATCTAGTCATTTTCCTGTTAACCATTTTTTTTTTTTTTTTTTCAGACAGAGTCTCGCTTTGTTGCCTAGGCTAGAGTGAGTGCAGTGGCATCAGCCTAGCTCACAGCAACCTCAAACTCCTGGGCTCAAGCAATCCTTCTGCCTCAGCCTCCCGAGTAGCTGGGACTACAGGCACACACCACTATGCCCGGCTGATTTTTTTCTATATATATCAGTTGGCCAATTAATTTCTTTCTATTTATAGTAGAGACGGGGTCTCACTCTTGCTCAGGCTGGTTTCAAACTTCTGACCTCCAACAATCCACCTGTCTCGGCCTCCCAGAGTGCTAGGATTACAGGCGTGAGCCACCGAGCCCGGCCTGTTAACCATTTTTATAGCCTGTGAATATCAGGCTATATTATCTGAGTATAAACCTTAAAGTTAAATAAATATTTAACTTTAATAAATTAATTAATAGCCAGGCTTGGTGGTGCATGCCTATAGTCCCACCTACTGGAGAGGCTGAGGCGGAAGGATTACTTGAGCCCAGGAGTTTGAGGTTGCTGTGAGCTAGGCTGATGTCACAGCACTCTAGCCGGGGCAACAAAGTGATATTCTGTCTCAAAAAATAACAATAATAATAATAATAAATTAATCAATTTAAATTAATTTGGGTATTTTGCCAATAACTCAGAAGATGTACTGTTTTATTAAACTTACAATATTGAAAAGTCTTATTTATCAAAAATTACATAAAGATCATTCTGTTTTAGGCTGGGTTTATAATTTTATGACCTTTGTGTCAAACCCTGGCAAATTAAAATTATCTAGCAGAGGCAAATATAAAACTGACCAGTAACCCAGACAAAAATGTATGCTAACAACTCTGAAGATACTTTTATTTTTATTTTACCAATAATTTTAAAACCAGCCTATTGGCCGGGTGTAGTGGCTCATGCCTGTAATCCTAGCACTTTGGGAGGCCAAGGTAGGAGTATCACCAAGAGTTTGAGACCAGCCTGGGCAACAGAGACCCTGTCTCTGCAAAAAACTTCAAAAAGAAAAATCTTTTTTAAACTAGCCTATTTATTAAAGACTCTCTCATCTTGTAGAGATAGTAAATGATTAGGTTTACTTAGTAAATTGTATGGGAAACATTATAAAATGATAAATGATGCTAGATCTCCTTTCATCTACATTTATGGGTGCATTATTGATATAACTGTTTCAAAAATTACACAAATTTATAAAAATCTAACATATCAGTCATAATTTTGGTGATGTTAAAACTTTTCTAAAGTTATATATGTACAGATTTGTTGTTAATATAACTATTCTAAAGAATATATGAAATTTATAAAAGTCTGCTGGTCCTGATGTGACTGTCAGTCATGATTCTGGTTATCTTAAAGTGCTACTTGTAATGGAAATAATTAAATGTTCTTATCAACTAGAAACTTTCATTAGCTATTTAACCAGCGCTATTCTAAGTTTTTGTCATCACAGTTATTGCTTTGAATTCTCTAAAAGCATTTGCAATCAGCTCTAGTCCAAAACTGCTTTTCATGGAAAAGACTATAATAAGTACTCATGAACAAAGATTTCTGATAACTTTAGGATTAATGAACTAAATAAAAATTTCCAGAAATATGAGGGAGGGGCAAGATGGCAGACTAGATGCAGTCCGCATGTGCCAACCTCAAAGAAAGGATCAAAGAGAGACCGGATTGAGCAAGAGTCAGAACCACGTCTCTACTAAAAATAGAAAAATTAGCAGGGCATGGTGGCTCACACCTATAGTCCCAACTACTTGGTAGGCTGAGGCAGGAGGATTGCTTAAGCTCAGGAGGCTGAGGTTGCAGTGAGCTACTATGACACCACTGCACTGTAGCCAGGTAATACAGCAAGATCCTGTTGAAAGAAAAAGAAAGAGAGAGAGGGAGAAAGGAAAGAAAGGAAAGAAAGGGAGGAGAGGAGAGGAGAGGAGAGGACGGGGAGGGAGAGGAGGTGAGGAGCTACCCGAGAGGAGCGAGGGAGAGGAGAAGGGAGGAGGAGGAGGGAGGAGAGGAGAGGAGGGAGGAGAGGAGGAGAGGAGGAGGGAGGAAGAGAAGAGAAGAGAAGAGAAGAGAAGAGAAGAGAAGAGAAGAGAAAATTCTGACAGAGCCAGGGAAGGCCATGAAGAGAGGGTTCTGATGCCTGTATGACTGATAACAGAAACTGTCACAACAGAACGAAAAACTCACAACTTTGCACGAAGACCATCACAATGTTACACAAAAAATATTTCTGCAAGGATATCTACCCAGCAACTGCCTGTCTAACCTCTGACTGGCATCACCCTTGTTATTGATTTTTGCAGTTGAGGATAATTATTTCAAAACAATTATATAATCCTCCTTATTTTTTCCTGTACCTCCCTGAATACACACATAGTTTACTATGGCATGCAAAAATCCCAATTAAATGCTCTATTCCCAAATAAATACGTTCCTCTTTTAGAAAGCCTCTGTTATTTAGGTTGACAGGGAGTACACGAGGGATGAGATACAGGTGATTTTCATTTTTTAGATGTGTTTTTCTGTATTTTCCTAATTCTACAATGCACTTCATTTTACTCTCATCAAGCAAATAAATTCACAAAGGCAATAAATAGGTTTTATCTTTTTTTTCCATTGTCACTGAAGCCATCAGTTTAGTTGGCCTGAAGACACTAATCTCCATATTTGACTCCCCAACCCAAACCTAGCCATTTAGCTCTCCAGGAAGTAAGGTAATTTCCTTAGTATCACAGGCTATTTCTTTGTTTTGGTAAATCTACTACTATGTGCTAACAAGTGTTAAACTACGTGTGTTTTGAGGTCCCTCAAATACCCTCTAGTTTGATCATTTGCTGGAAGAACTCACCAGGGTTGACAGCAGTTAAAAATAACAGACTTGCTTTCTCACTAAGGATGAATCTTTCTTTCTTTTCTTTTTTCTTTCTTTCTTTCTTTCTTTCTTTCTTTCTTTCTTTCTTTCTTTCTTTCTTTCTTTCTTTCTTTCTTTCTTTTTCTTCCTCTCTCTCTCTCTTTCTCTCTTTCTTTCTTTCTTTCGAGACAGAGTCTCATTCTGTTGCCTGGGCTAGAGTGCCATGGCATCTGCCTAGCTCACAGCAACCTCAAACTCCTGGGCTCAAGCAATCCTGCTGCCTCAGCCTCCCGAGCAGCTGGGACTACAGACATGCACCACCATGCCCGGCTAATTTTTCTATACATATTAGTTGGCCAATTAATTTCTTTCTATTTATAGTAGAGACAGGGTCTCGCTCTTGCTCAGGCTGGTTTCGAACTCCTGACCTTGAGCAATCCTGCTGCCTCAGCCTCCCAGACTGCTGGGATTACAGGCGTGAGCCACCACATCCAGCCACGATGAATCTTTCTTCATGTAAATTCATTTTAATGAGAGCCTCTCACACACAGTTCACCTTCCCTGCAAACACTGTTCAGAATACTTCAAAAACTGTCCTGATCAATGGCTCCAAGGTTGGGGCACAGGCCTCATTTCTTTCATTCTCTAAACGGTATTTATTGAGTATCCATTGTGATGACCATGCATTTGTAAGTCAGACTTGTTAATGAAAAATCACACGGAGGCCACGTTTGGGTATACCCCTAGGCCAACCATCACAGCCACAGAACACAAATATCCTGATTTCCTCAAAATGCTGTTCTGACCAGGAAGGAAGCTGCAGCTTTTTTCTTGTCCGCATGATAGAACCAATTAGCCACAGACGAAAAGCGTGTACAGCTCTACTTGTCCTAAAAGGAATAGAAGTCTGTAATAGCCAATTATCGCCGCACTTCCTCATTACGGTTTATAAGCTGCGTTGTAACAGTTCATCAACTGTTCCTTTGTATGTACAAAAAACTCTTAAAACACTGATGTGATGTGATTTTAACTAAAATGCTATTTCACAACAGTGTGAACACCTTAAACTTGTATCATCTCATTTCGTTTTCCACTATACCAAAACCAAACAATACCGTAAAGCAGCCTTTCATCCTGCAGACTTTGTTCCTCCTCGCTGCTGAAGACCTGACACCGCCGAAAATATTGAAAAGCTGGTGCCACCGGCCCCGAAGGGCCTCGTGCAAGCTCGGCAAAGTCCCCTGAAGGCTGGGGGTCTCTCCGCAGCGGCTCCCCCGCGGCCCCCACTCCTCCCAGCTCACTAGTTTCTTTCTCCCCAAACCTGCTGGCACCTCCGACACTCCGCCGCGCCACCTCCACCCGCAGCAGCCCCGGGGCTGGGCTCCCCTGTTGGGTTCCCCTGCCTGATCTGGACTCTGTCTCGGCGACGCCGCTCCGCTAGCTTCCAACAGAGGAAAGGGACCCCCAGGCTCCGCCTCGGGGGAGTCCTCTGAGCCGCTCGACTGCCGGGGGTCGCGCACCGAGCAGAGCGTCCCTGCCCGCGTCCCCTCTAGGACTGCGGAGGTTTCTCAACTCTCTGGTGGGACAAAGAGAGCGGCGAGCTAGTGTCTCACTCACACGCCCCCTGGCCGGGACCAATCACCGGCTGCAGAGAGCGTCGGGCCAGCGCTCAAGTTTGATTCCAATACCTGTAGACATTATCATGGTTTTTTTTCTCCTTAAATATATTGATAGATTTGCTAATGTTGAACAATTCTTGCATTTCTGGAATAAACACCTTTTGGTCATAATGTATTTTTTAAATGTGATGTTGGATTCTGTTGGCTATTTTATTTAGTACTTTTACATTGATATTTATAAGTTAGAATGGTTTGTAGTTTTGTTTTCGTGCAATTTTCATTAAGCCTTGAGTATCAATTTTATACTGTTTTTAAAAATGAAACTTTTCTTCTTTTACCCATTATCTATTAAGTTTAAGAGTGTTGAGATGATCAAATCTTTAAAATTTTAGAATACTACTGTGAAACCATCTGAGTCTAGCTTTTTTGTTTATAGTATTGTTTATTTCTTCTCTAATGAAATTGTTTTGTTTAGATTTTCTTCACTGGGGTCACTATGGTAAATTGTATTTGTATAGAAGATTATCCCTTTCTTCTAGGCTTAAGAATTTATATTAATGGAGATGAGAAAATTAATATATTATTGTTTTGTTTTTAAATTTAAAAATATGATATTGGTGACTCACATTCTCTAAAGATGTTTGAGTGGATGAGATCAGAGTGTACAGACATGATTAGCCTGTAAAAGGAATGAGATCATCTCCAAGACAGGAGGAATGGATGGGTTGGGTTACAGTTCATCTAAAAAAAAGTTAAATGTTTGATTATTTTTGTTTATCTGTATGGTCTATGCAAAACTACCTGCTGAGTTTGAAAACAGGCCAAATAGGTTTTAGGAATTTCATGTCACTTGTTCCATTTATGTGGCCCTCCTGGTTCTCCTAAAGTTTGGTATTGTTACTCATGACACGTTCTGTTAAATAGACATGAAATCAGAAAAGATTTACTGAGCACTTTTGATGTGCCATTCATCCTTCTCCATTAATCTCTCTATCCTCTGGGAATTTGGTTATTATTATTATTATTTTTTTAGATATATCAACTTCAATATGATCACATTCTTATTCTTCAAAGAAGGTAGAGACCAGAAATTCCTTATAAAGCTCTGGAAGAAAAGCTTCAGTTTTTAAGACCTTCTGTTCCCTGCTAATAAATACTTTATTTTTAAACTTACATCTCATAAAAATCTGTCTGCTCAACAATTAGTCCTCTGCAATATAATTTATACTATAAATTTAGTAAAAGCAGGGCTACTTTTCAATTGACATTGATTGTTTTCACTTTAAGTATTTTATTCCAATCTTCTGGTCACCATCTTTTTTTTTTTTTTCTGGTTAGAACTCAACTGTCATTCATATAGTCGTTTCCCTTATTATAATGTGTTGCTTTTCTCTGGTATGTTCAAAATTTTCTCTTTATCTTTGGATTTCAGGTGTTTATAATGTTCTTTGTATCTATCCTGTTTAGGGTTAAGCTCCTTGTTAAGTTTTTCACCAAATTGGGAATGATTTGACCATGAGTTATTCAAATTTTTTTCTGTGTCATTCTTTCTCTCTCTCCTTTCCTACTGGAAGTCCACGAAAATTCCTGTTATATTGTTTCCATATTGTCCTACAGGTCACTAAGGCTCTGTTTGTTTTACTTCTATCTTTTTCCCACTTTCTTTGGATTGGATAATTTCCATTGACTTATCTTCAAGTTCACTGACTCTTCTTCTATTTCTAAAAGGATTTGTTTTGTGAAGTTTGGATTCAGTGGATTGAGGGGCCACACTAGAGGATCTGGAGGGCCACATATGGCCTTGAAACTGCAGGTTCCCCACCCTACCCCCATCATTAATGGAAGCCTGACCTGTCCTAGGAGCACTGTTGAAATAATCTCTTACCCTACCAGCATGTCATTCTCCTCCAAGGTACTAGATTCTTGACTTTTGTTGGATGATGACTAAGGCTATCTTCTTAGATTCCACTCCTTGATCTCTCTCTGTCTTTATTAAATGTCCCAGACTTAATTTCTTGACAAAGAAGTATATTACCTTTCTTAGACCCCAAGTGCTAGAATCCCTATCCATACTCTCTTTATAAATTGAATTTGAATCTGAATCAAACAGAAATGCTATGGGAAAAACTACTTTTGGATTTAAATCACTTCCACAGGCTACTCTCAAATCTCTTATGACCTACATCCTTCCATTACAACCCAATTGTCACTATCAGTTATGAGAGACATTTAGAGCTGGAGAATGGGTTATGGAGAGAAGAATCAAGTTACAATGTAAAAGATGATAAACACTTTGGGGCAAAGTTTTACTATAAATACTTTGCACTGTATTTATGAAAACAGGAGGATGACACTAAGGGTATATAAATAATCTTTCTACTGCACTCTAAGTTTGTCACTCATATTCCACGTCAGCAAAGAGAACAAGATAGTATGATCCACTGTGGCTATGTCTACACAGCATGTGTTTGCATGGAATCCTTTCATTCTAATTTTTTAAAACCTGTGGTTTCTAATTACAAATTCCAGAATATATTTCAGACCTTGAGCTTACTCCTTACTGAGAGATGATGGATGAGACTCAGGAAATCCAACTTCTAGTATATGGCTAAATTTCCCATGTTGCCTCTAGGTGAAGAATAAGGACATAACCTTAGAGCACTGTGGGCATGGCATCAAAACTTTCATCCAGGTGCTCTGGTCATGTACATATTCTGGCCTGGTCTACTCTGATAAGGCCTGGAACAGGGGACATAAAATCGAAGAATTCATCTATTCTCCTGAGCATGAACAATGACACACTGAAGTTTTTAAAGATTCTTTGTTCATTAATGTAATTCCTCCTACTGAGGAAAATCCCCAAGTCTATTCAAGAGCTTCTCAGAGTCCTTTTACTCTTATTTCTTATCACTTGTCTCCCAGTATCTCTTGGAGACTCTCTGCTGCCCACACAGAAGGCCACATATACGAGCTGATCTCCAGTAATTGGAGCATACTTATAGAGTACTTGGGTTAAGATTTATAAAAATGGGATTCTTTATCTCTGCCAAGTTAGCAGAAATGACATCGTATGATCAGATAGCCAGAGACATCTCTGAAGAAGTAAATGTTGGTTCTAGGAGCAAATTCTGAATGTAGTTATTGCAGATTAACTAGCCTATGCTGTCATGTGGCCAATTAAAGCTGTGAGTAGAACTTTTCTGTATTTATGGATGTACTTCGAAAGTAAATTTGATATGGGCACAGGTGTGATAAAACCAATGATGTTATCCACCAAAGCCAATAACATGACTTTAGTTTAAAAGAGAATTGATTTGTTCACAATGTAGGTCAAAAAAAAAAAAAGAGAGAGAGAGAGAGAGAAATAAAAAGAGAATTGATTCCACAAGCACAGAATGATAGCAATACCATGTCTAGCATACAGCTTAAAATAATATTTTATTAATTAAATTAAGGTATTGATACAATATGTTTTAATATAGTATAGGTAACTATATTAAATAATTGTATTGATCTCCTCATTCATAAAACTACATCTGGAATATTTTGACCAATTTAAAGGAACATTGAAGGCTGGGCACAGTGGCTCATGCCTGTAATCCTAGCACTCTGGAAGGCCAAGGTGGGAGAATCGCTTCAGGTCAGGAATTCCAGACCAGCCTGAAGAAGAGCAAGACCCCATCTCTACTAAAAATAGAAAAAATTAGCTTGGTGTGGTGGTGCACGCCTATAGTTCCAGCTACTTCGGAGGCTGAGGCAGGAGGATTTCTTGAGCCCAGAAGTTTGAGGTTACAGTGAGCTATGATGATGCTACTGTACTCTGCCAGGGCAGGGCGGCAGAGCGAGACTCTGTCTCAAAAAAAAAAGGAACAATGACAAACTCCTTAGTAGTGAATTAAAGGATGGTGATAACCAAAAGTAGAAGTAAATTGTCTGGTTAAAATAGCAATAGATATGATTAATCTATTAACCTAATCTCTTTATGAATTATAACTTAATAATTGCCTTTCACAAAGAATTACACAATATTAGTTAATGTAACTAGAGATTTATCCTAGGAGAGATTTAGGAGAAACAAGATAGCTGTCTACAAATATTTAAAGATTTCTCTTGTAGAAGGATTATTTCTACTGTTTGATGCCCGAGGGCAGAACCAAGAACAATAGGTGGACTTTACAGGGAGAAAGTTATATTATACATTCAATAATAGGGAGAATTTTCCATTAGAACTGTCCAGAAATTTAATGATCTCCTTGGTAAAGCAGGTAAAGGCATGGGCTAGAAGTAAAGCAATACTTCTAGAAGTATTTGGCTAGAAGATGCAAGTAGAGGCTATTATGTTGTTTTTTGTTAAAGGTATTCTATTAATGCATAGTGGGTTGAAATATAAATCCTCTAAGACCTCATCTTAGGTTCTGTGACCATATGACCTATTGTCATATCTGGTACTGCACTTCTCCCCCACTGGCCAAGAGTAGCTCCTTTCCCATGAAGAAATATAGGGAAAGCCCTAACATGCGCCCTTCCCCTGGGGCTCTTTGGAACCTAATCAGAAGTATGGTTATGTGGCTACAATTTAGTGCCCTTCTTTGCTATGCCAAGAGGACTAAGATCCATGTTTCAGCCTATTCTTCATTGTGTGACTCCAAAGAGTTCTCAGAGCAGTCATATTTGTATGCTTGAATATAAGATCAGGGATGACTAGTAATAATGGTCACTACAGTTGGTCAGATAAAGATTTACTTGAGTGGCAAATGGCAAAGATATCAAAAGCAGATACAATAACAGATCAAAGTTGCTAAATACATACATATCTATAGCTATGCTGTCTTAATTTTGATAGATGTGCTTATTCAACACAATCTCACCCCCAACCCCTCCCAATACACACACAAACAGAAAACAACTACCGCCAACAACACAACAACTACAATATTCCTGACCTTGCACAAAAGGAACAGCTGAAAGGAAAATGTAAGGAATCTACATTAGTTGTTTCTTGCTCATTGTAGCTTTGTTTATACACTATTGATAAGTCCCAGTCACTCTATGAACAACCTGTTTTTAGATTACATTCACATAAAGCAAGTTTGTAATCTCTTGGTATGCAATCTCCAGCAACTAGATTTTTCCCCTTGTATGTTCCCTTGGAACTCAGACCAGGTGGCAGATTTCTACCTCTACTGATCTCAATTTCCTTGTCTGTAAAAGGTAGGTAACAGCAGTATCTACCTCATAAGATTTTTGTATGACTGAGTCTGTACCTGTAAACTGCTTACAACAGTACTTGGTACATAATCAGCTACTACCATATTATGGCTATTCTTATTATCCTATGTCCCAGATCCAGTTTCTTAGTGGCTGGAATTACAACCTTTGTGCCCTTATCCCTTAGTACCAAGTGCCTCAGGATTCCCATAGCCTCTGTAATGTTATGGATACAAGCTACATTATATTCATCTGTTTGTATCCTTCCAACTTGCTTGTGTGCCTATATGTAGAATAAAGGCCTTTCTGTCTCAAACTATGGTGTTTATCTTCTATTGGGCATATACATCACTTAAAAGACAGTGAGGACTACAATCCATTGTACTATGGCACTGACTATGACATCTCACTTGCTCCACCCTGTATAAACTACTCTTGGTTTAAACTTTCAATTTCCACTTCAGTGTTAATATTTGCATGATTTCTTGCTGGAGTTACATTTCCATTTGTCATCTCAAATAAAGAATTCTCATGGTACTAATCAAAAGCTTTCAATATCTTTGTAAAACATGGGCTCTCATGGGTCCTAAGTCCCAGTTTTCCATTTCCTCTTCTGCCAGCACTCAAGCACTGACATCTGTAAGACATTCTTCAGAGATGATGAACATCCTCTCAAAAGAGGAACTGAAACCTTACCCCTGACATACAGAAAGAATGAGAAAGCTTCCAGACATTGGCTCAAGTATCTGGCAAAATCCAGTGTTCTAAACCACAAGCCCTGCCAAGATTCACCTCTGGAGTACATCACATAGTATGTAGTAAGGCTGGGCCCAGGAATTGTTATGGAATTAAGAGAAAACATATGAAGCTTTATTAGCAAAGAGCATTTCATTCAGAAATACTTGGTGAACCCACTACAAGGAAGCCACAGAAGGCAGAGCTCAGCCAGTAGAGGAGGTCAGATTACCCGACAGCAGAACTAAGATTGCCAGGAAAGGTGGAGAGTCTGAAGCTACCAGGACTGGAGGAATGAGCACAAGTGGAGGATGGGATAGGGGTAGTCCTGTGCTCTGTACTCACAGAAACCCAGAAAATCCACCTTGCAAAGGTAGCGTCAAGAATCAGATTTGGGTGCAAATCCTCATGCTGTCATTTACTAGCTGTGCGACCTTAGGCAAATTACATAGCATTTGTGAGCCTTGACTTCCCCTTTTACAAAACATTAATCTTCTCATAAATTTAAGTATTAAATGAGGATAGAAAGGCAGTTAAAATTTCTAGAGTTCCTAAGGCAATGCACAGCATATAGCAGATGCTGTAGTTTGAATGTGTCCCCCCAAAAGTTCATGCCAATTAAGTTGTTATAGCAATAGGAGTTGCCATTGTAACAGCATTAAGAGGTGGAGACTTTAAGAAGTAACCACGCCAATGGGGGCTCTGCCTTCATGAAGGAATTAATGCAATTATTGTGGGAGTGGTTACTTATCATAGGATTGGAATCTGAATAAAAGGATAAGTCTGGCTCCATTTCTGTCTCTGGCTTACCTGCTCACTTGCCATTCTGCCTTACACCATGGGATGACTCTCCAGATGCCAATACCATGTTCTTGGACTTCCCAGCCTCTAGAACCATGAGCCAAATAAACTTCAGCTCTTTATAAATTACCCCATCTGTGGAATTCTGTTATAATAGCAGAAAATGGACCAAGAAAGCAGACAATCAATTTTGCTTCATCTTTTGCTCTTCTCTCAGAATCTGAGAATCCCATCAGCCTAAGTTGTGGAATCAAACTGTATTTACTTTTGACTTTATCATGGGAAACCCATGAAATTCATAACTGTATGAGATATTAACACATACCATTAGAGAAAATAATTTAGTAACTATAGGCCCAGATCTTTTGAAATTTCCTCATGATGCTATTAAAACAAACAAACACACCTCATGTTTTCCCATTGTAATCCACCATAAAACTCAGAAAGGGCCGGTAAGATTATTCTGGGAAACAGTTAATAAAATGGGTAAAGAATTTAGGCTGGTATCATTCTATTCTAAAGCCAGCTGGAGGGAGGAAACCTCCCCAGCAAATGTTTGTATAAAACTGAATACTTGAGGATTTAAGGGAAAATATAAAGACAAATATGATTAACTGATCTGAGACAGATAAATGACCCCATGGGCTTGAGGGGCAGAATTCTAGGGTTACCCTCTACATCTACCTAGGGAGTTCTACCCAATAGGAACTTTGTCAATTAAAATAATTCTCCTTTAATATGCTCATCATATAGATTTTCTACACTGTACTGCATCTCATCTTTCTCCTTCAACATGTATCCCTCCATTCATCACCTAATGTGACAGTGTCAGATGCTTATATAGGTTATGGCATAGTCATGATTTATTAATAAGATCTATGGACTCCTGGATTTGGTACTGTGTAGAAAAGCTGGTCCTAGGAATTGTTATGGAATGATGAGAGAACATAAGGAATTTTATTGAAAAAAGGAATTTTGTTTAGAAATAGTTGGTAAACATACTACACAGAGGCCACAGAAGACAGAGAGCTGGGCCAGGAGGGCTCTGTTCAGCATATTCTTTGACACTGGGATATGACTGATAGGCTTTCAATGAAACCAATTTCAAGTTCCCTGAATGTAGAAGCCATGTAATAAAGAAATGTCTCCAATCTCCAGTGCCTAACATAGCAGATACATGACTAAATAGCTCTGAAGTAAGATTTTGTTCATTCCTGCAAATTATTACCAAAAAAAAAAAAAAAAAGGTGTTGACCTTTCACTCTTTTTTTCTTGACTTACCCTCCCTCCCACCTACATCCCTTGAAGTTCTGTGTTAATTCACATACACAACTAAATTTTATTATAATTTCAGGGAATTCTATGATACAAACTATACAGCTGGAGTCAAAATTTAACTCTTTGAAAGTTCCTTCCAATCACTTTCACTCATGATTTCTGGTTTGTAGGTCCTCTTCTACCCTTGTTTCTCATGGTTAATGTTTGCCATCATTAGGCCATGGGTAGCAAGCACAATGCATGACCCTGGTTCATAGAAGTGGTTGAGAAACCTTAAAGGGGCACATTTATCAAGGGTCAGTCAGAATCAGAGCAGGAGTTGGTATCAGGTAGATCAGTTCACCTGAATTCAAAGAAAGAAAAAAAGGCCTAAGCAAAGGGATCAAAAATCAGGTCAAAAAGACAATGTTATATAATTAGGGAGGGAAAGCAAAAACAGAAATAAGGACACAAAGAACTCTCAAGAGCTAATGTTGATCTTTATCACCTTTTCATCTGCTTATAATCCTACTGAGTCAATCAGGGGTCTAAATCAGTGGTTCTTAATCTTGGCTGAGCCTTAGTATTACCAAAACTTCCTGGTGCTCAGGCTACACCTCAGTCCAATGTAATGAGCATCTCTGCAGCTGGGACTCAGGTATCTGTTAAAGCTTCTCAGGTGATTTCAAGGTTAATAACCACTGGTTTCAATGTTTTAAAACATGCAAGTAAGCAAATGGAGTGGGGGCAAAGGAAAGGAGGATGTTTTGGACTTTGATTTTTTCTTTTTATTTCCCTAAAGAAAACTCTTGGTAATTTTCCTCTTCAGGGGCCCTAATCCTTTCCCTTTCAGCTTCAGTTTGAAACTATTTAGAGAGCCACCAGCCTCAAGTAATGTGCATTTTGCTACTCTGTTGAGTTTTTCTATTGATTTAAAATTCCCAGCTCCTTACCTTATTTCTCTGCCTAAACCAAAATTTCTTTTTCTGTGCTCTCTTAGAAATTCTCTTCTCCATAGCCTCAGCTTATTGGTTTTGCAACTGAGATATATTCATAGAGCCCTGCTAAGTCTACTCACATGCATTCTCCCTGGACTTTCCTCATCCACTCCTACTACAATTTTAATGAAAAGTGTTTTCAGCTCTTCACAACTTCAAAATCAACAATCTTCTGTGTCAAGAAGCCCTTGCCTTGTTCCCATTCTATCCAATCTTCTTTCTAGACAGTGACATTCATCTTGCTCTCAGAAGTTCACTTTCTAATGGTTATTTTAAAAGACCACAGATATCCATATTTACCTCCTATCCTCTTCCCTACATAACAACGTATCAAGGAAGAAGGCTATTTCTTCTGTAGCACAGCCTCAAATGTTCTTGTAATATGCCCCATAATACTTAGATCTGCTCAATCAGGAGAGAATAATTACTTTATGAATTTACTGCATTCTATTTATCATGAATTTTTTTATGTTGATGAAAGGTTGAACGGACAGTGAAGGTTTTCTCACATTTCTTACACTTGTATGATTTTTCTCCTCTATGAATTTTCTGATGTTGAATAAGTGATGAACTCTGGCTGAAGGCTTTGTCACAATCAGGGCATTTATAGGGTTTCTCTCCGGTATGAGTTCTCAGATGCTTTGTAAGGGATGAGCTCTGGCTGAAGGCTTTTTCACATTCTTTACATTTGTAAGGTCTTTCTCCAGTATGTATTCTCTGATGTCTCACAAGAGCCGAGCGGTCACTGAAGGCTTTCCCACATTCGTTACATTTGTAAGGTTTCTCCCCAGTATGGGTTCCTTGATGTTGAATAAGAGCTGAACAGTAACTGAAAGCTTTCCCACATTCACTACATTCATAAGGCTTTTCCCCTGTATGAGTTCTCTGATGTTGAGTAAGTCCTGACCGGTCACTAAAGGCTTTCCCACACTCTTTACATCCATAGGGTTTTTCTCCAGTATGAACCCTCTGATGTTTAATGAGAGATGAGGTGTCATTGAAAGCTTTCCCACATTCCTTGCATTTGTAGGGTTTCTCTCCAGTGTGTATTCTGTGATGCTGAATCAGGTATGTGCTTTGGTTGAAGGCCTTCCCACATTCATTGCACTCATAGGGCTTTTCTCCAGTGTGAATGATATGATGTTGAATAAGGGCTGAACGGTGACTGAAAGCTTTCCTACATTCATTACATTCATAAGGTTTCTCTCCAGTGTGAATTCTCTGATGCTGAATGAGGGATGAGCTACGACTAAAGGCCTTTCCACATTCATTACATACATAGGGCTTCTCTCCAGTATGAATTCTCTGATGTAGGATAAAGGCTGAGTAGTAACTGAAGGACTTTCCACATGCACTGCACTCCCATGGCTTTTTCACTGGGTAAACTTTTGAATATTTAATTGGGTTTGAACTTTCCCCAATTTCATTATACTGCTCCATAGGGTTTTTATTGTGCTTAATTACAACTTGCCTTAAATCATTCTTCTGATTTTCTTGCTGCCTTTCTAACATGCCTTCACTTTCCCAAGATTCTATCAACCTGGAGCCCCAGCAATCATCCTTCTTAAGTCTTTCTATTATCAGCTCCCTTTCAGATGATACTTCTTCATAAACTTCCTGCTTTGAAAAGAACTCTTTAGTTTCAGGAATACATTCAGAATCTGAAATGAATAAAAAGCATAAATGTTAATGTTCTGTGTGTTAAGAGAAAGAAAACTGCTAAGTAGCATGAAGACAAAGAAAATTAAAATTATGCCTATTAAAAATATGTATATCTGGATGTTCTCATAACAAACCTCATGGCAATGCAAATGAAGACATTTCAGAGACTAATAGGGATTAGAGGAAGGCTAATATAAGACACAACACAAGGTCAGACAATAAGGGTGCTCTATCTACAAGGATGGAAAACTAAACAGACTAACCAGGGAAGAGGACATGCAGAGAAATGAAAATAAATTATTATTTTTTTGAGACAGAGTCTCACTTTGTTGCCTAGGCTAGAGTGAGTGCCATGGTGTCACCCTACTCACAGCAACCTCAAACTCCTGGGCTCAAGCAATCTTCCTGCCTCAACCTCCCAAGTAGCTGGGACTACAGTCATGCACCACCATGCCTGGCTAATTATTTTTTCTCTATATATATATTAGTTGGCCAATTAATTTCTTTCTATTTATAGTAGAGACAGGGTCTCGCTCTTGCTCAGGCTGGTTTCCAACTCCTGACCTCGAGCAATCTACCTGTCTTGGCCTCCCAGAGTGCTAGTATTACAGGCGTGAGCCACCTCGCCCGACCTGAAAATAAATGTTAACATAAAAAAACTGAGAAGGGAGGAAAAGATGAAAACACACATTGAGAATAAGTTTTGAAAAAGTACTAGACAAAAAAAAAATCACTCATAATAATACCATCTGGAGACAATCACATTTGATTTTTTTTTTTTCTTTTTTGAGACAGAGTCTCGCTTTGTTGCCCATGCTAGAGTGAGTGCCATGGTGTCAGCCTAGCTCACAGCAACCTCAAACTCCTGGGCTCAAGCAATCCTCCTGCCTCAGCCTCCCGAGTAGCTGGGACTACAGGCATGCGCCACCATGCCCGGCTAATTTTTTATATACATATCAGTTGGCCAATTAATTTCTTTCTATTTATAGTAGAGACGGGGTCTCGCTCTTGCTCAGGCTGGTTTTGAACTCCTGACCTTGAGCAATCTGCCCGCCTCGGCCTCCCAAGAGCTAGGATTACAGGCGTGAGCCACAGCGCCCGGCCTAAATATGATTTTGAGTCTCCATTAGTCAAACAGGTTTTATGCATCCTCTCATCACATACTTGCTCCTGAGCTTGCTGCAGTCTGGCTTCTCTCCTCATTGTTCTCAGTGAAATCACTAACCATTTATATGACACCTAAACCCAGTGGATCCTTTTCATTCCTTGTTTGGTTTCACCTCTCAGCAGTAACTGACACTGTTGACCATGCCTTCTTCCCAACAATGTTTTCTCTTGACTTTTGTGACTCTATGCTCTCAAGTTTTTCTCCTGATCTCTATTTATTTGGAATTTTTTCTGCTGTTTCTTCTTCTTAAATGTCAATATTTCTTAGCATTCCATCTTAGGCTCCTGTCTTTTGACTCCTGTCCCCACTACATTCTCTCCTAAAAAGACCTTATTTATCCCATTGTTTAATTACCCTTTACCCAAAACCCTTACCTCCAGCTTAGTTTTCCCTCCTCTACACTCATATATCCCACCACCTACTTCATGTATTAATTTGGAAATATCAAATTCAATATATCTATATCTTGACTCATCTTTTCCTTCAAACTGTACATTCCCAGGTTTCATCATCTAAGAAAATATCACCACCATCATTCTTGTTAATAAAAAGGCTTTGATATAAGAATATGAGCACTATCACCAAAAGGTAAATTTTTTGAGGGTAGGAATCACATCTCTTTTGATCACTGCTATTTCTTGGAGCATATCACAGGGTTGATAAATTAAATACATGTTTGAACTGAACTGAACACAAATAACACAAGCAATGAGGCAACTCTGGAGGGCAGTTAGCCTTTCTTAAGATTCTTTTATCCCATTACAGAAATGTAATCAATATTTGAGTAAGTTATATTTTCAGTGTTACTGTAATTTTTAGAAATTGAGAATATGATAGCATATAAAATTTAATAAATTTAATATATACCATGAACTATAACAATATTAGATAAAAACTTTTATAATGTTCATTATATATAAGTTGTATTCTAAATGGTTAAATATATTAACACATTTAATCTCACAAACCCCAAAGTTTTTCTAGCTGAAAGTCAAAAACCTGAGAATCATTTTGGACTCTTCCCTATACCCTACTAACCACAACAAATAGTTCACTAAGTTTTATGGATTATACCTCACAAATCTTTATCCAATCTATCCTGTACTCTCCCTCCCCACTATTGCCACCCCAATTCAGCCACCATCATCTCTCCCCTAAACTAATCCATCAGCCTCACAATGGGTCTGCTTGTATCCTCTCTCCATGCAGCACTTCCCAGCCTCATTCAAATCTGACTGCATGAAACCATAGTCAGAGTAATTAACAGAACAAGACTCAATGATTATCCAGATATTAGAACTTACAGGGCATTTAACATAACTATGATTAATATGTAAAAGGCTATTGTGGAAAAGGTGAACAACACACATGAATAGCTGAAGAATTTTAGCAGATAGCTGGAAACTATTAATATAAGACAAAGTCAAATGGAAATGCTATAAATGAAAAAACTTGGCAATAGAGATGTAGAATGTCTTTGCTGGTGCATCAGTAGACTCAACAGAGCTAAGAAAAGAATCAGTAAATTTATAGAGGTGAATAGGAATTCCCCAACTAAAACAGAGAGAGAAAAAAAGAGTGAAAACAAAACTAACAAACCAGAACAGAGCATCTAACAACTGTAGGACAGAATAAAATGCTCTAACATACATGTACTTGGAATACTGGAAGAAAAGAAGAGAGAATGAGAAAAACAATATTTGATGAGCTAGTGGCTAAGAATTTTCCAAAAGTAATGAGAGATATCAAACCAAAGATCCAAGGAAGTTCAGAGAATCTCAAGTAGGATGAAAACACAGACACACACCCCTACTTAGACATATCATATTCAAACTGGTGAAAACCAAAGATAAAGACTGTTATAGGAAAAAAAAGACATATTACATACTGAATAACAAAGACAAAAATTACAGCCAGAAGACAAGAAATGACACATTTAAACTGCTGAAAGAAAAAAAATGTCTTTTGATTCTGAATAATGTCTAAAAAATAAAAGGAAAAAAATTTTCACCAAGAATTCCATATGCAGTGAAAATATTTTTTTAAATGGAGATGAAATAAAGACTTTTCAGACAAATAAAGCTGAGAGAACTAATTACCAGTAGACCTGCACTATAAGAAATATTAAATAAAGTTCTCAGGTAGATAGTATATAATACTAGTTAAAAACCTGCCTCTACACAAGGGATCAAAAGATACTACAGGCCAGATCTGGCCACTCTCATTTGTTTACATATTGTTTATGGCTGCTTTCTCGCTACAATGGCAGATTTCAGTAGTTACAACAGAAGTTTTATAGTTTTAGGTTTTATGCTCAGGTCTGCGATTCATTTTGAGTTATTTACTATATATAATAGAAAGTATGAATTGAGGTTCATTTTTTTACATATGGATGTCCAAATTTTCCAGTACTATTTATTGAAAAGACTCTCCTTTCTCCATTGAATTGCTTTTGCACTTTTGTCAGAAATTCATTGACTGTATATATGCAGTTCTATTTCTGGTCTATTTGCTTTGTTCCACTGATTTATGTCTTCCTTTCACCAACACCACACCATTTTTTATTACTATAGCTTTATAAGTCTTAATATAATGGAAGCTGCCCTTTTTCAGTTCCACATAGAATGAACTTTTACCTTTCAAAATGGAAAATTCTAAGCCCAAAGTGATCAGGGATCTCCTAAGGGATTAAAGATCTCTGAATCTTAAGCAAAATGATTGCATTTTAGATGTAATTAGTTATCAAGGAAGCTTATTGCTAAAGTCTGAATGTGCCCCTCCAAAATTCATATTTTAAAATCTTTTAACCCCAAGGTGATGGTATTAGGAAGCAGAGCCTTTGAGAAGTGATTAGTTCCCTTATAAAAGAGGCTGAAGAAAGACTCATCTTCATCCCTTCCACCATATGAGGAGGATACAGTGAGAAGGCACCATCTATGAAATAGAAAGTGGGCCCTCACCAGACACTGAATATGCTAGAATCTTGATCTTGCAATTCCCAGGTTCCAGAACTGTGATAAATAAAATTTTGTTGTTTATAAGCCACTTAGTTTATGGTATTTTGTTATAGTAGCCTGAGTGAACTAAGACATTTATGTTCAAGTAAGTAGCTTGCATTACAAAATAAGACTTCCTTACCCCAAAATACCAGGCTCCCACAATTCTCCACCTTCATATCCATGTCCATGTACATATCATGCCCATGGGCAGTATTCAGCTGTTCCACCTCCACATGAGTAAAGTCCATTTCCTCATCTTTGACTGTCATCAATTCCTGGAAGAGCAAGCACATTCTTAAAGGATTTGGCAATCCTGAGAGAAGAAAACAATCTAGAAGAGGAAGTGTTTTTAATCTGAAGGTTAAACCTTTATTTTAATCAAATATTCTAATATTACTAAGTATTAGTCTGTGTTAAGGAACATAATAATGAAAGCTAACATTTATAATTTACTTTCTATGTGCTAAGTCCTTTAAACTATCGCTTGTAACAAAGACCATATGAGGTAAGAGGTAAGTAATATTATTAACATTGTCTACATATGTAAGGGCCAGATCTGGGATTTGGACCAGGCAGTCTGATTCTAAAGGTATACTCTTAACTTTTCTGCCTCTAACATATTTTACTAAATAAGCCTAATATAAATTAACCATTGAATGATAATGAAATGTTAATTACTGATTATATTATAGATGGAATAAGGCTGAGATATGTAATATATATTGACTCCAGGAATATTCTGAGATTTTATAGAAATTCAGGTTGATATTCTGTGATATAGACATTCATGCTGTTCTAGTATAGGCCTCTTCTTTCTCTGTACTTAGGGCCATGACTATTTAATTTGTTTTGTTATTCTTTAGTAATTAAAGAGGTTCTGAATGAGTGAATTTACTGACTTTAAGTTGAAAATGACCAATTGTTCTAAGGAAAGATAAATATAATGATAGTCTTGTGACAATTGTTCTAAGGTAAGATACTCTATAATGACAGTCATGTGAGTATACTTTGTTAACCATAATCAATTGGAGAATACTTTGTGAAAAAGTCAGTCAATAGGTGAGAATGGCTGGAGGCATAGGATTTAGAATCAGATATAATGTGGGTTCTAACCAGGGCTCAACCATTTGATGACACTGAGCAAGTTACCATGAGCCTCAGTTTCTTTGTCTGTGAAATAGGTATTAAACCTAACTCTCAGGCCTATTTATTTAAAATAAACAAAGAAATGTTTGAAAAGTGGCTCTAAATGTTGGAGTTCCCCAGGGCTCAGTCCTTAGACATCTTCTCTTTTTCATCTACTCTTATATAACTACAATGTTATTTCTCCCTTCTCAAAAAAACAAAACAAAACAAAACAAAACACCTCTTTGGTCTTGTCTTACTATTCCTTCCACCTATTCCCCTACTTCTCTCCTTTCCTTTAGAATAAAACTCTACAAAATGGCTCCAATTTCTCTCCCCTCATCTTCTTTTCAACCCATTCCAATCCATCACTCCCACCACTCCATGAAATTGTTCTTGGCAGTCACTAGTGACCTTCCTACTTCTAAATCCAATGGTCAATTCCCAGGACTCATCTTCCATGACTTAGCAGCAGCATTTAACACAGCTGATCACTTCCTCTCTGAAACACTTCCTTCAAGTAGTCACCAGAATGGCAAACTTCTGGCTTTACTCCTACTTCATTGCGTGTATCTTCTCATATCCTTTGCTGCTCCCTCTTCATTTCCCTGATCTCTAAGTGCTGGAGAACTATAGAACTCAGGAATGACATCTCATTTCTTCTCTATCTATGCTCATTCTCTTAGTGATCACAGTTACTTTCATAGTTTAAAATACCATCTACCCAGATTACTCCCAAATTTGAAACTCCAGCCTGGGATCTCCCCAGAGCTTTCAGTCTCCAAGGAAAAATTACTTTAGTTCAGTTCTCCAGGTGGGATCTCTTTGAACCTCCAAAACAAGAAAAAAGAAAGAAACAGGGACACACCATGAATACCAATATAAGATTTCAGAGGAAGGAAAGTAAACTCAAAGTCACCTGGAATTCAACAGGAAGGAGCTCAACAGTAGGTTCCATTTCTTCTGTGCTCTGCTTTTGGAGAAGAGAAGCATCCTCAGTAGTCATGGCTAGAAGGAGTAGAAAATAAACCATGAAGGAGGTAAACTCTGTCTTCCCATTCACTCAGACAAAAGCTGTAACAGGCCAGCTGAATTATATACATGAGGTGACTCTACTTAACTCAAAAAACCCAAGCAGAGATAGAGTTAAGTTTTGATCAAAAAGCTAAATTCACAAACCCATAACACATCAACTTTTTGGAACAGTCATGTCTTGTCATATCAGGAATGGAAAAGTGTCACCTGCCCTTTTCACAAAGCAAACACTATGTAATATTCTCCCATCCACAGCTTCAGAGAGGATGTGGATGAGCATAGCAGCACTGAAGGAGGAAGATGGGACGGGAGAATGTACTACGAGGAGCCTCCAAGTGATTTCCAGAGCAGTTACTGTGTACTCCAGGGCTTTCTCCTGAGATGTATCTGCTTCCCTTTTTCAATCATGGGGGCACTTGACCTTTTCATTCTCATCAAACGTATTTCTGCTATTTCTTCCCACTTTCAATTCCATGTTTATTTCTGTAGTTCTTACCTTCCCCAACTTCAATGATGAGATAATCCATGATCAGTTTCCCTTCCTTGTCCTGTTATTGCTATGACTTTCTCAGTACTCACTGTTTCGGATGAACACAGACTTTTCAGCAATACATAATCTACCTCCTTGTGTAAATCATCTGACTCTGCTCTGAAGCTCTAGAGAGATTGTGAGGTTAGTTTTGCCTAGCTCTAGAATGATTCTTGCTCCCTGGAACATCTCCCTCTGTCTTCATGTCCAGAAGGTTTATTCCTATGCATTCAAGACCCAGGGCCTCAGAAGTAATTCTACTTTGCTTGGAACCTCTGTTATTGGGGTAAAATAATCTCCATGGCTGGAAGACTATCCTCTGGAGTATCAAGATCAGTCACTACATACTGCACTAAGGTGTAAAGTAAAAATCTTAAATTCTCCTCACCAGCTGACTGAATGGACCCCATCTTGACCAAGGGGATACCCTAAAATTCAGTTGCTGGCCATGAGAAGAGCGGTCAGATATGCCCCCTCCCTTCTTGTAGATATCCTCTGTAACTCATTAACAGGCCTAACCCTAAGCAAGTTCAACCTGCAGGTCCTCAATTTACATAACAATATCACTGAGTTTGAGTATGTGGCTGAAGGCTTATCTCTGATTAACAGATTTCCTTAACTTAAGCTTTTCTAAGCATTTAGACAAAGCTTCATTTCTTTAACCAATTACTAATCAAAAGAGTTTATATCCATCTATAACCTGTAATCCCCTCCTTTGAGATGTCCCACCTTTCTGGGCCAAACCAATGTATACATACCTTTCATGTATTGATTTATGACTTTACCTGTAATTCCTGTCTCCCTTAAATGTATAAAACTGTAATCCAACCACAGTGAGTCCACTTGCTCAAGGCTTTTTGGGCGACGCTCTAGTTCACAGTCCTCAAATTTGGCTCAGATTAAACCTCTTTAAGTTATTTTACAAAGTTTGGCTTCTTTTCTGTTGACAAAGGAAAAACCAGGAGGACATCAGGGCAGTGAACCCTGGGCCTCAGTCACACACTTGGTTCCAGAACCTTCAGAAACTCCCGTGAGACTCAAAAGCACACAAGTGGCCATAATGTGGCCTACCTGTAATACAGTAGCAGTAACTGCAAGCTGGGCTTCACACAGTTGCCTCATCCTTAATATTCATAAACACAGAGCCATACATAGATGGCAGCTTTACAGCGCAGATTCCTCACTCACTCTTTATCTTAAGACCCTGAAAATACACAAGCTGGGATTCCCATGCACTGGCCCCCAAATACAGGCAGACCCCAAAACTCCGACAAAGCAAAGCACAAAAGGGGTATGAATAAAACACAGGCCCCATTTTGTTCCTTCTGTCCCATAAGTTCAGAACCCTAAGGCTGGTGAAGTGACAAGCTTAGGACCAAAGTTGCGAGCGGTCCCGCGCCAGGCTGAGCCCCCGGAACTGCCGCTCCCAGAATCCTCTGCTCCAGGACTCCACTTCCCATCGGTCTGAGCGGCAGCCCCGCCCCCGGACGCCCCTCGCTCCGCGCTGAGCCCAGGGCGCCCGCGCGCGCAGCAGCCCGAGACCCCGGAGGAGCGCGCCGCGCGCCCGGCGTGGGGCGGGGACACAGGCGAGGCCCAGCCCTAGTCCTGCTCGGGCTGCGGCTGGGTGTCCGAACCGTGTGCACAACGAGCGAGTGGCGGAGACTCTCGCATCCAGGCCCCGCAGGTTCTTACCCTGGACGTGCTGCGAACCCGGCTCCGTCCGCAGTGCTGGGCCCCGGTTGGCTGCGCTCTGCGAGGGGCGGGAGGAGCGGACACAGCCGCCTGCCGGACCGCGGAGTGCGGGGAGACAAAAGGCTCGAGCCCGAGGCTCCGTGTGGAGTCGCATCTGCGCACTTGGAGGCGACCGCGCCAGGTCGGGGTCCGGGCGGAAAGACTCCACTTCCCAGAGGGCTGGGGGCCACCGGTGCTTGTGCTAGGAGGGTGTCTGCGTAGTCGGGGAGAGACCTGCAGGCCTTCGCAGGCAGCCTTAGGACGAAGATAATGCCCCATCTGATAGGTCTCCTTTCTGATTAAAATGAGAAGCTGTCATTAAAATGTTCGGAACAGTTATTATTAACTGGGGGACGAAGGGGTCGGGGACTGTTACACAAGTCTTTTCTCTGGTATTTCTCCATTCTTATAATAAAGCCCGAAGTCTGCATGTAAACTGTGTGCACGTGCTGATTTTGTTGCTAGCATTCTGGCTGTTAAATAGCTTAGGCAGGGTTGAGAAGCCAATGTCCTGATTGAAGAGAAATGTGATAAAAGTAGAAACCCAATTAGGAATGAATGAGTTCATAAGGGAAAGTTGGATGTGAGAAAGAAACCAGTACAGAGGTTGGCTTTGACGTGGGGACAAGTGGGGATCAGGAGTTGAGGAGCGTTAGTATGAAAGGGCCACTCCCCCTGAGCTAAAGGAATTAGGGTCAACCAGGCAAAAGATACTTCACTCCCAGTTCTTCACAAAAATGGATTGTTGGGGGCTAATTCTGGTGTTATACCTTATACTAATCATTCACTATAGTCTGTAATGTACGGGTGCTGCCTGACGCAGCAGTAGTCAACATTTTCTTCAGACACGGTTGCTGCCTTGTGACTTGATAAGAGGCCTGAGTTGTTGCACATAAGCAAATGCTCCCAACTCCCACACAGAGGGCCCCGTGGTGGGAGTCTGGAGGCCATGAGAACAAGAACTCTCCCAAGAACTGGCCCCATTGATGGTTGGTAGTCAATGACAGGTAAGACTCCCCATGGAGGGGGGCGACCTAAAACAGGCACAACCGTGGGGGCCAGGAAGGAGCCTCAGCCTGGGATTGAGACCAAGAAGCACTTCAAATGGCTGCATTGTTTTATGTTGCCTATCTCGGCCTTGGCTTTTGAGCTCTGTCCGGCACCTTAACTTTAGTAACCGTTTTAAGGTCTGAGACCATGGGAAATTGTTCCCTTTCGATACAACTCCGGAATTGGCTGATATCGCTGCTATGTTCAGATGCTCACGTACAAGGAACTAACCTTGGGTCTGGGGGGTATAAAAATAAAGTGACCAGTGCATTGGTCACTTGAGTCATTGTCATGTCCATGTGTGTCTGTGTCGTTATTTTGTGTTCTGTGTCGTCCCCCATCCTGTAATCAGGCCACGTCAATGGATTGGAGCCAGTTGTATACCAAGTGTCATTCTAGTCCGAGTTACTAGTCTTTCCATATCTAATCTTGTCTTTCCTTAATCCATGTTATTCAAAGCAGCCAAAATGTACATTTAAAAATTAAATTTCTTCATATCATTTTTTTCCTGAGATCCCTTCAATGGCTTCTCATTGCCTTGGAATAAGATGTAAACTCCCTAACACAGTTTTTAAGCCCCTGTGTTATCTGGCTCTGCCAATCCTGATTTATTTGCTGCTATCTCCCTACAATTATCTATATAGATGGTCCCCGAGTTATAATGGTTGGTTGAGGATTTTCGACTTTACCATGGTCGGAAAGTGACACACATTCATTAGCTCCTCGATTTACGACAGGACCGCCCAGGATGGGTCCACTGTAAATCAAAAGCACTAGTAAGTCAAAAACATGCTTTTGACGTAAGACTTATGCTGTTTTCCATTTACAATGGGTTTATTGAGAGGTAACTTCATTGTAAGTCGAGGAGTACTTGTACTCAGATTACATGGCCTTTTTAGTGACTCATACATCCCAAACTCTGCTGTCCCTTAATACAGGCATTTCCTCTGTTTAGAACACCACCCTTCAGATTTCATACAAATGTTACTTCTTCAGAGAGGCCTGACCTCCCTCCCCCTAATTCTCTCATTCTCTCCATCCTTTCCCTCCATAGTCTTGCCATAATTTGGAATTATACATTTATTTTTGCTCTTATTTAATGTATGGCTCCCCCACTTGACTGTCAGTTCCATAGGGTCAAGGACCATGCATGTTTTGTGCATCACTGTGCCAAGTGCCAACACAGAGCCTGACAAAGTTGAGTATTGAGAAGGTGCCATTTCACAATTATTATTCCCAACCTCGGTGAGGTCCTGGTATTATTTAGCAGTCCTTTGTTTATCTGTGTTTGTCGCCTTCTATCCATGGTTGTCTCCTCCTATCTATGGTTGTCTCCTCTTCTGGCTCTATTCACCAAGCATTCCAGATACCACTCTCTTAAGCTCTTTATCTCATCACCAAGCCCAGAAAAATGAAAAGTTTTCAGGTGGGAATATATTCAACTTCCCTTTACTCAATTCCAAATGCATGGCATGTCTAAGATATTTGGGAGGTGGAAGGAAGCACACTACTTCAAGGTTATCTCTCCACAGGAGTATCTTACCTATGCACCTATGGTAGATTACATTATTATCCAAAATCTTTGACACTTGAAGATTTGAACTCAGGCTTGGACCTGACTTGTGATTACCTTTTTCTTGTGAAAGCTATGCATCCTTGTCTTGTTAAAGCATTAGTTCCTGGTCTTCCATCTCTCTTTTCCCTCTGCCACAAGACTGGGAGTCTCACATAAGGCTGGTCTCCATCCGTCTGTGTTCAGGAGTGAAGACACAAACAGCTGGGGTGATTAAGAAAGACCTTGGTTGTTATAGGTCTTTGAGAGTCTACAAGTTGTTTGATTCTACAGTATAACCTAGCTCACACCAACAGAGTCAGCAATCAAGATACTTTCTGAACACTTGTAGGGTAATACCTTTCAGGTGTGTATATGTTTGTTTTATTTTGTGTTGTTTTAATAATAATGTGTTTTTCACAGCCATAGCAACAACATGATTCCCAACATAACCCCAGCAGCAAGCTTTAGGTCCTATAATTTAAAGTTAAAAATATAAAATCTGGGCCGGGCGCAGTGGCTCACGCCTGTAATCCTAGCACTCTAGGAGGCCAAGGCAGGCAGATTGCTCAAGGTCAGGAGTTCGAAACCAGCCTGAGCAAGAGCGAGACCCCGTCTCTACTATAAATAGAAAGAAATTAATTGGCCAAATAATATATATAGAAAAAAAAATTAGCTGGGCATAGTGGCACATGCCTGTAGTCCCAGCTACTTGGGAGGCTGAGGCAGCAGGATTGCTTGAGCCCAGGAGTTTGAGGTTGCTGTGAGCTAGGCTGAGGCCAGGGCACTCACTCTAGCCTAGGCAACAAAGTGAGACTCTGTCTCAAAAA